AATTTAATGCCGCCGAAATGTGTTTTAGCCCTGGGAGGCCGAAATTTGAATAGGCCGAACATTTGTGGACCTTTACAGTACGGGTAAGGAGGTATCGGCCATGCATGTGGCAAAAACTATCATCAATACCTTGCACGTGTGTGTGTGTGTGTGTGTGTGTGTGTGTGTGTGTGTGTGTGTGTGTGTGTGTGTGTGTGTGTGCGCGTGCGCGCGCGCGTGTGTGTGTGTGTGTGTGTGTGTGTGTGTGTGTGTGTGTGTGTGTGTGTGTGTGTGTGTGTGTGTGTGAGGGTGTGTGCTGTGGGTGGATGTGTGTGCGCGCGCGCGTGTGTGTGTGTGTGTGCACGTGTGTGTGTGTGTGTGTGTGTGTGTGTGTGTGTGTGTGTGTGTGTGTGTGTGTGTGTGTGTGTGTGTGTGTGTGTGTGTGAAATGTTCTGGACTTCATCCTTCATCCTCATCATAATAATCAATATAAATGATGCATGCTCAGTAGTTAGGCTAAGTACTTGTTTGGGTTCGGTGTCTGGTTGCTATATAGCAAACGTTTCTAAAAATTATACATTTTATAATGGCTGCATATACATAACATTAATCCTTAAGTGTCATCTGACTCGCTAAGTAAGTGAGTGAAGATGAGTATACTATACACGCATGTGTACGTGTGTATGTGCAAACACACGCTCACAGCTACGGACGACCCCTTATGAGGTCGGCGTAAAACTTAGCGTGCTCGTAAAATGTCTTGTGCATTACACGATTAGGTGTGGGCATTTGCCCTTCTCTCTTTCCTCTCCAGATCCTGACTAAATTAATCCAGCTCCTCCTGGATCCTATCAAGCGGAATGTTGGTGATGAACTGCAAGGTGCGGAGCATACATTGCACGAAACTACACACACACACACACACACACACACACACACACACACACACACACGCACACACACACACACACACACACACCTGTCCTGTCCTGTCGAGCCACTGCCACAAGGGTCACGTGGGCCCCGGAGGGGCAACGGAAAGAGAAGAGGAGAAAGCTGTCTCACGGCGTCCGGGACAAACACAACGAGAGGTCGCCAGGATTCAGGTCACCTACGACTGCCACCACGAGACTGACGCATGACCGGGGGAGAACCTGAGCAGCGGTGTCTATTCCTGCCCTGGACCGAACGGAAGCAGCGGCCGCAGGACGCACAGTGCGCGCCACAACACGGCTCCTCTACGGCTGGGGACTACACACACACACACACACACACACACACACACACACACACACAAACACACACACACACATGCCCACACATGCACACCCGCGCACTCGTGTGCGCATCCCTCCCTCCATCCAACAACCCCACCCACCCGCCCACACACACACACATGTGCTCACTGCCAGAAAATTGTTCACGTGATGTGTCCCTGGGATAGGGAGATTCAGACTAATCGTGAAAGACTTCTGTGCCGTCCAACAAAAGAATGTCCAAAACTCTCAAACCATACATGCGCTTATGCATGGGCATATGACGCATGCGCGCGTGTGTGTGTGTGTGGGGGTGTGGGTGTGTGTGTGTGCACATATGTGGGTATATGTCGGAAACCTCAGCAGGGACTTACACGATGTGATTTCATTCAAATAGTGATCTTATGTGTACGTATGTGGGTGCTGTGTGGCACACATGCATGTGTGTATGTGTTTTGAGTATGTCTGTTGTTGGTGCATGTGTTCGTGTGTGTTTCCGCAGCCCCTAGTACGGTGCCCGCCAGCCCACTTCCTCGTTCTCCCCCAATATCGAGTTCACTGCTCACACCGCAACCAAAGGCTAGACGTCGCTCAGGCTCTCTTAGTGGACCGAACATACCTAAAGCAGCGCAGTGCGTTTCTCGGTGCATAAGCCAATCGGCGGCTGGCAGGAGGTCACCCAGTTTTTCACCTGGTGCACACGGACAGCGGCCTGCATCAAGGCTGAGTAGCTCCGGCCGAGCGGCATCACCCAAGTCGCCAATCCTCCTGCCAGGGTTGCTAGTGGGACCCCCTCTCCCCAGAGGGTCGCCAGGGGCATCCCCGCTCCCTGGAGCATCGCCAGCCGGATCCCCGCTCCCTGGAACGTCGCTACCAGCATCCCCGCTCCCCAAATTGTCGGCTGCCACCTCACCACGTGTACTGCTTTTGTCCGGTCCGCAAACACCACCCCCAGCGATTGAGCTTGGTCCAAACCGTCCTGATCCCAATCGCGTCGCGACCTCCCCAAGCAGGTCGGGGAAGTCCCCGACCGAGGCGGGACAGTCCCCGAGGGTTCGCTCACCATCACCGTCCAACCGGGCCAGTGGATCATCCACACCAATCAAGCAACGCGGTCCACTCTCGCCGACGATAATCAAAGGCACTACGGACAAACGGCCTAGTCCACTGGCACTGCACGATGACTTAACTGGATCTGCTGACAAGGAAGCTGCGAGGCTCGCTCGTCCGAAATCCTGGACTGCTACTCAGATGTTGAATATCATGGTGGGAAGTACCTTTTCAAAAGGTACAATGACTTCCGAAAAGCTGCAGGCTATAATGGTAAGTGAAAAAATACACCAAGTATGTGCATGTCTGCATGCGGCACGCAATTGTGAAGTGCTTGTCAGAAATATCCGGGCATAGCAGGATGATCTAATACCTTGACTGACGAGCAGAGGGTACCAAATGCAATTCCGTCTCGAACACGGAATGATGACGTCCAACCATCCTGCGGCCAACAGGGGAAGTATGCCCGAAAATCCAAAATTTTACCACTCGCACTCACCTAGGTGCCTGGTGGGTGTTTGCACACGAGTGTGCGAAACTCTGAGTATCAGCGCGGAGACGAGACTTGGCCGAGCCGTTTGGTGTGCGCGGTGTATAGAGGTTATGCGAATGATTTCATTGAGATTTCAAACGGACACAAGTATTTATATTTTTTATTTTTTATTTTATTTCTACGCCTCGTAGCATGTCAAGACAGCCAATTGAATGGAGGACAGGATGAGACCAGCCACGGAAGAAGAAAAAAAAGAAAACGAAAAGCACGTATACAAAATGGGGTAGGGATTTGCAAGTTACAAAGCAATGGGATGCCCAGCGAGCTATGCAGCGGGAGTGGTGAATGTGATGTCGTTTTCTGGAAGATACTGGAAGACATACGTGAGCGTGAGTCAGGACTTTTTCAAAAGGGCGCTATGTATGCAGCGTGAGGCGCTAGTGCAGCGCTGTGACCCGAGTCGCCGCCTTCGCCAAAGCATGGTTCCAAGTTATTGCTCGTCTCTTGTTGCTGTTGTACTCTGACTAGCTTTCTTCTTTTATGACACTATACGGTCCAAGTCACTGCTTGTCTCCGGCTTGTTATAGTTGTACTCTGCCTTGCTCTCTTTATCGCTTCTCTTGTTTCATTCTATAGGCCATGGTTGGCAATCACCCATATCTCTACATTACTAGCAGTCTCAACGACATGCTGTGAGATACAATTATAATACTTTGTAGTTGTAAAATTATACTTTTTCTAATGGTCCGCTAACTCCAAAGCAGCCACTTACATATAGGAAATTCGCTTCTCAACTCCAAACTCCCAAACCGGTCTCTTCACTGCTAGTCAAATTACCAACAAATTTTCGGGCCTGGCCCATCATCAGAGTAATGAAATAAAATAATACTTCGAAGTAATAATAAATATTGATAATCTCAACAGATGATGAATCGATGATGTAATTGCATAACCTCTATAGCTACATGTACCTGTGTCCACCCTGCAGTGATCATTCTGCATAGCCTGTGCTGTGTAGATACATCGAAGCATGTCAAATTCCCGCCATGTCCAGTTAGAGTATGAGCAAGTGCCCTGGACTGTAGGAGTATGGGGCTCAGGCACGTGGGCCGCATGGGACACGGGGCCACGTGCAACTCCCTGAATATGTCGACCCAGGTTCAGCATGCACAGAATGACCATGAATGACAGGCACCTGCCATCCTACACATATGCAGCCGTGCACCCCCCCCCCCCCCCCCCCCTCCCCCTGAAAGGGGACTGTCTATGCCCCTGGGGCTACACAGGACAATGGCACCAGGATTTCAGGTGATCCGGGCCATTAGTATACTGGGCCGGCATTGAACATGACTCGCCAAAACCCCTGTTTGCACATTTGCACGAATTGGGCAGGCATACATGGTACAAGTAGTCATGTACTGGATTGGAAATAAGCAGTATTGACAAAATCCCTGTTTTACACATATTGGGTGGATCAGCTTTTTTGCCTGAACCGGGTGCCAGGGCATTTCTTCTGGAGCTGCATTGTTTCTTTGTTTGTGCAACGTCACACCTGTCTGTTAATCTGTTAGTTCCAATGACCATGAAGAGATGCTTGCAGCACATCCACATGGTTTTGTTATTAGTATTATTATTATTATTATTATTATGAAATGACCCAAAGGCAATATGCCTATCGAGGGGTTCATTTGATTGAAAGAACATTACTACTACTAGTATGTACAAAGACAAGTAGGGATTGATGAGGAGAGAAACGGGGAAAATCAACTGCAAGGAGGCGGAATTCCGTTGATTGCATAAGCATTTTGATTTGCAATCGCTTCGCTCTGTGCTGTATAGCCGTGACAGGCGGTTAGGACTCCTCATGGCCGCCCTGCCGTCCTTCTACTGGGACAGCGGCCTGGCTGTACACGGCATCCGCTTTCTCACGATGCGTACTGTGCCGTTCTCTTCATTCTGTCCAGGTCTCGGTGAATGAGAATCGCACGTGGAAGCTCCTGGAGCAGGAATCCAATCCCATCATCATATGGCGACTGATGGTCATCTGGCTGGAGTCTCTGCAGGTGAGTTGTGTTTTTATTATGTTTTTATTATTTTTTCTAGCGCACAGTATGCAGCGCACGGACTTCGCCCACCCGCGAATATTCGAATTTTCAAACCTTCGACCTAGATTGTATCCGATCGATTATTCGTTGAGGTCCAAGAGATCGAGGAAATTCGAATAATCGATTATTCGTTGCATCGCTAGTATTCTACAATCAGAGAGGTTCCAGGCTCTCCAATAGAGTGGCAAATACCGAAAGGCCGAGCTAGTTCCACGAAGAATAAGAGGGTCATCACAATACACCTGGGCCAGACCCAGGTCATGACACCCTCATCCGTCACAATACGCCTGGGCCAGACCCAGGTCGCGACACCCTCATCCTTCTTGGCCCAGACGTGCTATTATTGTGATAGTCCTCTTTTTCTTGTAGGTTTGGTGTCTTCTTATAATGGTTGCAAGCCCGCCGTACAGAGACCGGAGGATCCGAATGGTGTGCCATGATTCTTTACCTTTGCTGGTCGTGCTTTCGTCCTGGTACGGCTGGACCCACTCTGTCTTAGTGGGGCTGATGCTTAGGTCCCACTCTCCAGGTATGTCCGTTTTTCTTCAGCAATGACAGTTTCGAAGTGAAGTCTGCTTGCAGCGACAAGATTGACGCCCTCCATATAAATTACATCCCATGGTATAGTCTAGAGTCGCAATACTCTTCTTGTTCACCTTGATGATTCCCAGGAGCGGTGATAGGGTTACACGGCGTTGCAGCACTTGCCCAGTGGCCTCAAGATAGCATGAGAACAATGCTGGTGAGAGGCAGTCACCTTGAGGTATGCCTGCTGCTGTGGCAAATAGGGTTACAAGCTCCCTGGGTATGCAAACTAGAGGGATCGGTGTCCTTTACCAACATTCTGACCATTCTTGAGTTGGCGTTTTCCAGAAAGCTAGCCACCATGGCCATCAACTGGCGTCTGATCACTGTGCCAGGTGGAGCTGCCCCCCCCCCCCCCCCTCCCCGAGTAACCGCGGACTTAGTGCTTGGTGTCCTTAAGCAGCATGTTTACCACTGTTGACTTGGCATTTTCCAGAAAGCCATCCACCATGCTCATCAATTAGTCTCTGATCACTGTGTCAAGAGCCCGGGACGTGTCAACACTCCGTGCCGTGCACTGCCACTTAAACCACTTGGGCTTTTGCTGCAATCCTTCGACCTCTCCACACTGGATCAGCACTCCGTTTTGGTCGGAAGTGCTCTGCGATGGCGCTATGTAGTTATCTACTTTCGGACTTATCCCGCGTAATGTTTCAATTGATTGGCATTTCCAGATTGTGTCCAGCAATGCAGGACGAAAACTGGAGAGAGTTTCCTTCGGCTTCCCAGGTTTTGCCCAGGGATGAAAAGTACCTTGACCCAATTCCAAGTCCTTGGATGTAATGCCGATTCCCAAAAGACGAACAATTCGCTTGTTGTGCAGGCGGCTCACAACGAGGCACGCAGCGGAATCGTTTCAGGAAGGCTCTTCGACCGACATTGCCTTTTACCTCACCTGCCATCCGGAACTTACGACCAGTCCTTCGCTACATCACGTGCAGTAATTGTTCCACATTTTCACGTAGGACGGCGTCATCAGTGATATAGGAGAAGATGCGAAGATGGCTGATCTAAGACAGTACAGGGGCAGAATTTATGCTACTACATTGCCTTTTTGGAATAACCTGTTATGTAGAACCTTTCACTACAACCGGTAGATAGACCTTGGAACTCACCGACATAGACCGTGGCATCCGAACCACAGCCTAACTCACTGGCGTAGACTACGGCATCCGATCCACGGCCTAACGCACTGACATATACTACGGCATCTTATCCACGGCCTAGCTCACTGGCATAGACCGTGGCATCCGAATCACAGCCTAACTCACTGGCATAGACTACGGCATCCTATCCACGACCTAACTCACTGGCATAGACCGTGGCATCTGAACCACAGCCTAACTCACTGGTATAGACTACGGCATCCGGTCCATGGCCTAACTCACTGGCATAGACCGTGGCATCCGAACCACAGCCTAACTCACTGGCATAGACTACGACATCCGATCCACGGCCTAACTCACTGGCATAGACCGTGGCATCTGAACTACAGCCTTACTCACTGACATAGACAACGGCATCCGATCCACGGCCTAGCTCACTGGCATAGACCGTGGCATCCGAACCACTGCATATCTCACTGGCACAGACTACTGCATCCGATCCACGGCCTAACTCACTGACATCGACCGTGGCTAACTCACTGGCATAGACTACGGCATCCGATCCACGGCCTAGCTCACTGGCATAGACTGTGGCATGTGAACCACAGCCTAACTCACCGGTATAGACTACAGCATCTGAACCACAGCCTAACTCACCGGTATAGACTGTGGCATGTGAACCACAGCCTAACTCACCGGTATAGACTACAGCATCTGAACCACAGCCTAACTCACTGGCATACACATCAGCATCCGATCCACGGCCTAGCTCACAGACATAGACTGTGGCATCTGAACCACAGCCTAACTCACTGGCATAAACAACGGCATCCGATCCACGGCCTAGCTCACTGGCATAGACCGTGGCATCCGAACCACAGCCTAACTCACTGGCACAGAGTACTGCATCCGATCCACGGCCTAATTCACTGACATCGAACGTGGCATCCGATCCACGGCCTAACTCACTGACATATACTACGGCATCCGATCCACGGCCTAGCTCACTGACCGTGGCATCCAAACCACAGCCTAACTCGCTGGCATAAACCACAGCATCCGATCCACGGCCTAGCTCACCGACATAGACTGTGGCATCTGAACCACAGCCTAACTCACTGACATAGACCGTGGCATCCGAACAACAGCTCAACACCGGTTCATTCCAGCCCATTGGAATGCGTCCCAACCATATTGTATCCCGGACACCGAGCTGTTCTTTGAGCTGAGTCTCAAACGTTGCCTCGCCCATTGCATGAACAAGCGCTTGCCGTGGCCTCTCAACTGTGTGTGTGTGCTGGGTCTGCGATTGTTCAGCAATTGTCCTTCGCCTTGGAACCTGTGCAAACAAAGAAGATATCGTCTTTCAGTGAAAATCTGGATTTGCAGCACTGTAGCCGGGTACGACCCTCCAACTTTCAGGCCTTAGCCTAAATCAAGGGAACCGTGTGCCGCTGCTGTACTGTGTAAAATGCCCGTGTCTTAAAAGCCCGTTGTTTTCTAGGCACATTCGCAAACAGGGTGGTGGCTAAAGACTGATATGATCGAATATACTAGCAATGGGTACTCCAGGCCGAGTCACGTGTTGGCTGTCAACGCATGCAACCGCGACAAGATCTGATGAATGGCCCGATGACGCACGGATGCCATGGACTAGTGCATCTTGCCCGTGACCAGTGCATGTCAGGCCGGGTGCGGAGCCAATACCAAGAAACAAATTACAGTCTGTATCGGCTATAGAGTGACCGGATATAAGAATATATCGGCTACAGTGATATTGGTACGAAATATCAAAAGCAAAACGTATTTTATCCAGTACAAATATCACTATAACCAATATTTTCGGATGTAATGATATATCGGATATTATGATGGCAACAAAGAATCAAAACATGCATAACACATTATTATAACACATTATTATAACACATTATTATTATTATCGGCTATAGTGTTAACTTTAAAATACATGACTGTAGCAATAATATCAAAGGCCCTATTTTTTTACTTTCTTCACGTTGCTTTTTTTATAGTGATACATGTGCATAACAGAATTTTTTTATGGAAATGCGGGCACTGTCAACTATGCAGCATGCTCATTTGTCAAAGCGCCATGCTGGAAATATTTCCTTGCCTTTCATGTGTCGATTGAAAAAAAGAAAAAAACCCGATCGTATCGCATATAGTGATGCATCGGTTATAGTGATAAAATCACGGAAATCAAAAGGGTACGCTATCGCCGATACAGACTGTAATAACGAATAATTTAGTATACGCGCTGACTGTAGAAGATCTGGTTACTTTGATGGACAGTTTGTCATAGCTCGTAACATTTTGTCCTTCTCCTTTTTATCAAAATTCGTATAATTATAGTAAAAGAAAAAGGCCAAGAATAGACTCAGATGGAGAGCAAAGGATAAATTTATAGAAAAGAATAGGGACCAAGGAACCAGTTAGCCAGTTAGTTGTAGAACATCAGTACCGTCGGTCAGAGTCGTGCAATGTTATCGCAAGAGCTGATAGTTTTAAAAGTAGCTGGTGGTGTCGGTGGACATTCTAGGGCTGAACTTGTACATGTAGTTCCTTGGTCCTTTTTTCTTTTCTACAAAAGTACCAAGGGATAATAAATTAGTATGTCCTGTGCGGTATTGAATAAAAAATGAAAAAGTAAAGTATCGTGTCCGTTCCCAAAGGGAACTCACGACGGTCGCTAACACTCGGTAAACCCAGAGAAAAAAAAGAAAGAAAAAAGGTAAACCTAGCTGCATATGCAGCGGTATGGAATGATACTCTACTAACATTCTTCCGTGAGGTGTTTTTTACTCTGTTTAGTCCTCTGCATCCCATTACTCGGCACTTACAGCAAGCCAAGAACGATGTAAATTCGGACATTTATATTGGGGAAACGACGAGGGGAGATACAGAGAGGCAAATGAATACTTCGTGGCAAGAGAGAGGGAGAGAGGGAGGGAGGGGAGAGAGAGAGAGAGAGAGAGCTGTGGCAGATATGGTCGTATAAGCAGCTACCCAGGCCAACAGAACATAAGGTACCATACGGGAGCGCGGGAAGCTATGTGTACGGGCCCGGGGGGGGGGGGGGGGCTGCGGATGTAGGGAGAACAGTCTACTGAAGATGGGGACCTAGCAGCTCCATTCTTTGTCTAGCCACATGGTTGTCACCAAACTGTACCATGGCTTAAATGCCAACTGTCTTCCTGCTAATGCTAACCTCAAATCACTATATGATTGGTTTCCCTTGGCCGATTTCAAAAAATGCATAACTATTTGCAGGGTTTAGGGTGAACTTTCTCCTGTTCCAATTCGGCAAAATTCCCGACCTAAAAATTGCCTGGAATTCAGTATCCCTACTACCAGTTTTGCTGAGCTCAGAGTTGTCCTCGGTACTTGACATGCTGTACTGTAGAAAGTGCATGCGGCCTAGCTACTTCCACACCCTCCAAGCCCAGTCTGAATCACAAGACCCCCCTCCCTCTCCCTCTCCCACCCTTTGATTGGCAACTACATGCTATGGGATGTGGAGATAAATAAAATGTCAGGGGGATAGGCTTGTGAAGCAGTGTGCCGCCGTGTGGACTGTTTTTGGCTTGATGCAGGACGCACCGCTCGCCGCGTTGCGGACAACGCCGTTTCCCGTTGAGGAGTATTCCGCGTGCCAGATAGGCGTTTGCGATAAGCTGGTGGAACTGTGCGGAGAGGTGAGCTACAGGGCAACACTAGTCATCGGACATACATTTTCTTTTTGTAACGAGTTATCTTGCCATCTTGTCGTCGGAAATACAGCGATTTTTCATGACGAGTAATACAGCCTGTTTTCATGTCGAGTCTTCTCATTGCCGGTTTTCAAAGGGTGTTTAATGAAGACCTGGCAGCAAGACAATGAGCGTTTACTGGTAGTGCGTCTTGGCTCAGGATTTATTCAAAGGTCACCTGCTTCTTTTTTTGCAGGAAACTTTGAGAATAACACAATACCATGAATAATGCGAGTCATTTTCATTGTATTCTATTCTGTGGCCAGGTGAATGTTGCCGTGGTGACGTGTGTCATCGACTTTCTAGTCAAGGTGAGAGTCTATTATATAATTTTTTTATTATATAAGTTTCGGTGCCATGTTTAAGCATTCGAGTTTACTACGCGACATAAGCAGTGAAGCTAGGCTAGCGATGGACTCCTGCGGACCAGAGAAAAATTTCACGGTTGTGATCAGGAAAACTAGATGATCATGTAACTAGGCAAATTTGCCTGTTTGTTCTTTGACTCTAAATGAACAAACAACAACAACAACAACATGCACTCTTATTGGCGATGGTGCCATCGTGAGAATAAAGAATTCAATTAATTTCAAACTGCTGGGTGCCAGACTTGATGTCGGGCATTTTAAGCTGATGAGCACTCTGGAGAGGAGACGGTCCATGTGTGTGTGTGTTTCCCCTATCAAAGCAAATATCATGCACCAAGCTGGACTAAATCTTTGCCGCGTTTCTCATTCTGTGTAATATAGGTCACACGGCTATCAAAGCACTTGGATAAGAAGCAAAAACAGGATAAGATACTGTTGGCTCTGACGAGTTTCTTCGTCCACGGCACCAATTCGCTAGAGATGTTTGGACACACGAAGAGATCAGCTTGCTACATGTACGGTCTAGTGATCCTTCACGAGTCCACGGATGCAGTCCGGGAGGTGGTGAGGCTACTGTACAAAGAGCGTTCCGCCATGGAGGTCCCGGATGACCCAACCGCGGACGTCGGCTTAGAGACCTACTTCACACCGGTGCCATACAAAGAAGCCTGAATACGCAATGCGTTGGTCTAGTGGCTATCTATTGTTCAGAATGTGTTTGAGAATGCCCAACAGCTGCTCGTGAATTTTCTAGACTCCTACTACCTACCCCTTTCTGGCAGCCAGGCAGAAAACCACACCGTATTGGGCGCTTGATGGCAGCGTCCTTGTCATTCTGGGTTCATTTGGCAGATTTTTTCTTCCATCTAAAAATAAAAACAAACCGTACCAGCAGCTTGTTGCCAGCACAGCAATTTTAGAGTATCAGGTAATGTTCTGTCATTGCAGCATCATATCTGGTGGTAGCTAGTTGTAAAGGACTAATATCTATAATTATAATTATATTTAGCGACAAACATTGACAGTCACTATGCCCGGACACATAACAGCCTCTATTCATTTTTCACGACAGACTTATAATATTTTTCAACATCCTGAGCATTGTAAAACGCATTGGTGATCATTATTCCATGCGAATATACTATGTTTTGAAAGAGTTTGCAGGGAATATTGCCCGCAATATTGAATGTGTCTGTGTGTGTTGCTATAAACAGAAAATCAGTGGATGGCCCGGACATCCAGTGCATTTGTAGATTTGCGTGCTTCTCTTGCGACGGGTGTATATATACATGGTGTGTGTGCTGGTGTTGCCGGGTGTATGTGTGTGTGTGTGTGTGTGTGTGTTTCTTCTCTTTCTCATTCTCCTAGCTCTTCTTTCATTCTCCTGGGTGGTTACCAACAGCCAGTGAATGCCGGAGTATGTGGTGTGGCGTGGTGTGTAAAAAATAAATGAAAAATGAAAAATAGGGATTCACTGGCCAGGAAAAGCCACTTCATGCTGTGTGGTGGATACCAGGCTAAATTATTAGTGGCGGTCAATTCATCGTGGATACCAGGCTAAAAATTAGTGGCGGTCAATTCATCAGCCTTGCAAGCTGTTGAATGGTGTAATCCCAGCACAAGTTGCTATGTCTAACATAGCTGTTCGCAATCATCGCTTCCACGACGGGCATGTCTGAGGTGAGGTGTGTGTGTGTGCTGGTGTGTGTGGACTGTACTTCAGCATGAGTCCACTACATGTAGAGGTATGTTGTGCTGACGTTCCACTGCAATAGGAGCACAGAGCAAGAGCCAGGAGTACCCCCCCCCCCCCCCCCCCCCCCCCCCCCCAATGAATGCGCTTGTGAACTCCTGCCAGTTTTGGTGATATGCACACAAGGCTGCTGGGAAGGCTTTCTGGGTGAATATTATTATTAATATTATTATTATCATCACGCAGATGTCCACTTGAATCCGCATGACTGTACATGTACTGCACTGTGCCGTTCCTAGTACTTCCTACTGATGAAGTATAGACATGCCAAGCCCAGGGCAACAATTAAGTTGCTATGGATGTTAACGCAAAACCCATGGGCAATACCGTGTAACAGTACTTAAGGCCGATTCACAATACAACTTCTTGCGACGCGACATGCGTCATTTCGCAAGACATAAAGCATCACTATAAGCATAGCACTGCACAGCTCCCGCAGGGTTTGCGTAGAAATGAGAGCACTGTTCGAGACGCTCTTGTAGCAAACAAACACAAACCGGGATTCCGCAATGTACCTAGCCGGCCGGAGAAGGTCAGCAGCCACGTGATACGAACACACACACACACACACACACACACACACACACACACACACACACACACACACACACACACACACCAAATGCTCGATCAAAAACAAAGAAGTGATCTTGTGGCCACGGTACAATATTATAGAACACAAACATGCTAGAATGTGTGAGTGTGAAACGGAGGTACAAGACATTCAAGGGTGGAACGTCGATCAGAAATACCGCGTGCCGAAAACAATACAAGCAATACATGCACAGGCTCGTTGATTCGAGAAAAAGTCAAAACAGTGAATAAAAAACGACTTATTTCGGACTTGACAGGGTTGTAGTTGAAATGCAACTGCGCAAGACTACTTATCCACAGCAACACAAACTACACGTGTAGCTGGACAAAAATGGTAGTTCAATACAGGACTTAAAATGGCGAATTAAATAGGACCAGCCAGCTGGTAAAAACAAGACGTAAAAGACGGGGTAATAAATCTTTCATGTGTAAATAGTACTAAGAGATTAGCATAGATTTAAACACAGTCCGGTAGAAATCACAGGTTTCCTTAGTTCTCACGCCTCCTGCGGCAACACAGACAACGAGAGGCATAGAGATGGTGAAGTCGGACAGCGGGATTCCTAGTAGCAGCAGCAGCAGCACAAACGTATTTCATGGCGGCACGGGGGATACGGGGCATAATGAGGTGTTCAATAATCAGGGTACGGGCCATGGGGGGGGGGGTCCACGTCAATGTTCATGACAAGGGCCATGACGAGACAAGGGCCATGACGAGGCGTTCAAGTCAAAGATCCAATGACTCTTGTAGAGCGCAAGCACGATAGCATTGATAGCGTGATGACAAGGTAGACGAGGAGCTAGAGGATTCGAAGGCACTAAAGGTCAAATAAACTCTCACTTTGCGCATCCAATGCTGCCTGCGTTTTCGAATCGGTCTGTGTGGAACAACATCAATGATCATAATGCAAAACAGCAGCAACAGCAGCAACAACAACAACAACAACAACAGCAGCAGCAGCAAGACAACAACCGAACAAGCAAGACATTAAAATAAGGAGAGCATAAGGAGAGCACTATAGAAAGCAATCGGTGATGGCATCAGGGAATCTAATTTTCACTCAACAAGGACATGAATAGAGAATCTACACGTGGGCAATTTGGCCAGGCCAACCCGTACCCAAGATGTAAATGAAAAAAAAACTACACCGAAGATCTAACACCAGGCTTGGGACTGGCGGACGGTGGATCTGCCATGTACCGATGTTGCCGGCGCTTAATGCACACCCTCTGTCGACCTAATCTCAGACACCTCAAATACATCTGGTGCCAATCTTGCAACTCAGTTATTAAATTAACGTACAAGTAATATCCGGTGACTAACTGCACACTTGCACACAGAAGTGTTTTCTAGCCACAAACAGTGTAACCTAAATGCGCCACACACTCCATTTCGGAGAATCTCCTAACTCGACACCACAGAATGAAAGAGTTCTTTTCACTGCAGAACTCAATCGTAACGAAGCAGAGGTAGCGATTTCGGCAACAACAGAGGATTTAGGGAGTTGCTCCGTACAAGACAGAACTCAATCAACCGGCACAGGGCGGCTTATACTCCGGAAAATACGGTACTAAGGGCAAAACCAAATTATCCTGCACTTGGTATACACCATCACTCACCTTTGCAACTCGTTCTGACTTTCCTGATGAAGGCAAGAAGCGACGCAGACCGGAGAACGAAGATGACGGTGGGGGTGACGTCGTTGTAGGCACTCCCATGCCCTTTCCGCTGCGCTTCTGCTCCCACTTGCTGCGTTCGGCGTAGGAAATGGCAGCAGCGTGTGCATGAGCATTGGCAGATGCTCCACTGTACAGGATCATAATATACATGTGCACACACGCGCACATGCACAAACACACACACATACACACACACATACACACACACATACACACACACACACACACATACACACACACATACACACACATACACACACACACACACACACACACACACACACACACATACACATACACCACACACACACACACACACACACACACACACACACACACACACACACACACACACACACACACACACACACACACACACACACACACACCACACACACAGCCCTAGTGATTACCCACTTTCATGATGCTTACAAACTCAATTGCGAAGTTCTCTACTGTTCGGCACAACAGCAGTGATACACAACGTACACGCCAAGCCACAGCAAACACTGCTTGCATTCTTTTTCTGGGGTATAGAAGTATGTCATGCTTTTATTTCTGACAAATCAAGCAACATTTCGCCCTCCAGCATACAGAGGCTATCCAGGTTCACAGACTCAATCCTGATACATGCAGTCCAAACATGGAATCAAAATATGTGAAAAGTAGGGAGACAGAAGAGGGGACGAGTTTCCCCAAATAGGAATACAGTTACGCAGTACTAGTATAGCACATGGTATATACAGCTGTCAAAACCGAAAACATAGTATACCACATGTACACTGTCTGTAGTGTATGGGCGAGAGTCCACAATCATTCTTGAACGACAAAATATGCTAAACCAAAGGCGAACATTATGGTTTTGAACGAAGGTTTTCGTGAAGAAAAATACCGTTTTTACAGCCACCTGATTTGTCCAAAATCCCCAGGGATGCATTCGCACAAAGACATGCCAGAGTTCAGGGCAAGAACATACTATAGTCAGTGTCTGGGATTACTGGCATACCAGAGAGGAATCCAAGTGCTACACTGCTTTTACAATAACATTTGTTGAAATTACCAAAAGCCCATGGAAATGCTGTTGGATAAGCTTTGTAGTGAGTCAAGTACACTGGCGTGAGCAAAACAAGATTGAAAACGGTAACTGTCCAGAGGGTGTGTACAACATAGGTGGACATAGATGAATTCTAGGCCCATTTATCTTAGACATGCCCCTACTCACAGTTCGTCGACCCGCTCCGCAACCGTGCTCTCCAGCGACTCGACCGAAGTCTTGGCCAGCGATAGCTGCGTGTCGAAGCTGGCCAGAAAGCTGGACACGGACGACTTGTCGAGCTCGCCGATCTCGGTTTTCTTCACAGCCGCAGGTGCTGCGCTACCAGTGGCGGATGCCGTTGCCGCCGCTGCTGACGACGGGCGACTGCTTGTTGACTGCGTGCTCCCCGGCGTTGGTGACGGAGTCACGCGTGGCGATGGAGTCTCGCCTCGCTGCTTTCGCTTGCCCTTGCGGCCGCTACCGTCCGGGGATGCGTCACGCGAGGCACTGGCAGCGCCACCGCCGGCCTGCGGCTGCTGGCGGTTCGACAGCGGGATCATCAGGTGCGGCCGCAGAAACATGCTGTCGTTGGTCCATAGCTTGTTTTCCTGGCGAATCAATTCAACCTAGGCAGGAGAGGAACAATGGAGATAAAGTATTAGACAATATCAAATATGGAAGAAGCAGAAAATTGTATCCATGAATAATTCTGTCAACTCCAAAGAAAAGGAGTTTGTCCGGTCGAAAATTTCGTCCATCCATAAAACGTATTGAAAGGCTGGACAAGATCGATGTTAAGATCGATGTTAGTTCAGCGTTTTCATTTAGTTCGGATACTGAGCCAATAATAGATGTAACCTACTAGCTAGTAGAAGAGAACACATGTGTACGAGCTATGAAGTAGCCGTCCACCACCCTAACAAGATAACAAGTAGTCAGAAAGTGCAATAACTGGCCACAACTGCTGACTGCTTATTATCTTGTTACAGTGGCGGACGGTTACTTCATGTTAAAGTCGCATCCATCCCATGTGCCCTCTTCTATTTTTACATTTACCGTAATGTCGCGTGCATTAGCCGGGGCTTATATGCCTATAAGCCGGTGATGGAGTCAGGCTTGTACACAAGACAGGCTTATACACGAGACAGGCTTATATGATGCTGTGCTTTCTAGAAGCAGCAGTGACAGAAGTCGATTTTGCAGCTTTCACTACCGCCAGCTTGAATGTCGCTGAGTATTTTTTCCGAAGTCCTTTTGTTTTCGGCATTTCGACAAGCAGACTTGGTTGAGATGAGTTCTATCTACGGGTAGACTGCAACAAACACAAGTGAAAAGTTCGAGGAGCGCCGAAACAACTTCAAACAAGCAACTTGCCAAGGGACAAGACGGAAAATGCCATGGGAAAGGTAAGTTTGAAGCTTGAAGAGTGCTGCATGGCCGTCGAGCGCAGCTGGTGTTGATTTCCGCATCTTCCCACGTTTTCCGCGTGTGCAAGTGTACGGTACCATGCAAACATGAACATGTAAAAGGCGCGCTCACCAGTCTTGCGTAGTAGCCCGGCTTACGCACGCGACACGTGGCGCGTCTCGTGTACTGGCCCGGCTTATGCATGCGACAGGCTTGTACGCGAAAAGCTGTTGCAGATTTCATGCTTCTACACGAGACAGGCTTATGCACAAATCCGGCTTATGCACGCGACATTACGGTATTTAGTCCGAAAATTCCTGGGACGAAAAACAAGAAAGAAAAATGCAGACGAGTAGTTGCGCTTGTACAGTAGGCACTATCCATGTGTGTACAACGGCACGTACTGTATTAGCAGAAATATTCGTCTGGAATTTAATTTCGTTTTTTCGTCCAAGTAGCTTTTGGACTAAATCAAATGCCAGACTAATGTCGATTTGTCCAACTTTTCAATACACTCTCATGCGCCATGGACGAAATTTACAACCGCCAGCAGGCGACAACTTTCACACCAAGGTTCAACTCAAAGGTTAAAACGTTCAACTCGAGTGACAGAAACTCGCTCAAACATGCTGTAAGTTGTAGCCTGCAGGCACGGTGACCAGGTGGCTGGTGTACACATGAGCACGTGACCGCTTGTTCAGCCATGTTCGATTGGGAATAAGGGCCGGACGCTCCATCGCAGCCTTTTCGGACCAAAACCAGTCGACTCAGCGTCCAAAAGACTACAACATATGGGCCAAACGCGGTCAGCCGTGCTTTTAGTGACGTTTTGCACACAAATCCCCATCTAGTACGGCGCAGTCACCCGGTTTCAGTGGAAGTGCGCGAGTTCGATTGGAAAGAAAGGAGGAAGGGAGCGTCTCAGCTTCCTCGGACCCAGACCATTCGACTCAGCACCCCGAAGACTACAACTGGTGAAGTTTTGATTTTAGGCTTAACTTCCCCTTTAACGAAAGAATATTCGTTCGTTCGTCAAGCCAAAGAATATTTGGCTACTGGGTTTTGATATTCGTTTCACCACTACTGTAAATATACAAAATTTCGGCGCTGCAAAATTTCGGCACTTCACGATTTTTGACATTTCGGCGGCGATTTATTTTCGGCGTGGGGTAGAGGGCATGGTATAGTGCGACAGATGCTGTGAAAAATTTCATCGGCGTTTTAATTTAGGCGTTTTGGGTCGGTGCCGAATATAGCCGAAATTAAATAGCTGCCGAAAATTTGTACATTTACAGTAACTGATTCTAGTTTTGTCATGACGAAAGCGAAATCGCCCTCAGCGTTCCTGGAGAGCAGGAAAAGTCGAAAGAAAGTTTGCAAGCGTTGCACTGAAGGCGCCCGGTGACACCGACGTCAGAGAGCCTGTAGGAATCCATGGCTGGAATACGATACTAGTAACTTACTACTTATCTAGCGACCACTCGTTTTAAATTTTAAATTTGCATTCTCAACGACATGGTTGGTGGGTTACAACGGCAGTAAGTAGTTGGCGTGGTGGATTTGCACCCCACAGGAAGCAGCGCAGCGCACAGCTGCCCACTGTGCAGTTCCGCTTGGTTCCAATCAGTGATCGGAAACGTAAGAAAGGAGAAACTGCACTTGTCCTCGTGTGAAATTGGAGTATAAATCAATCAATGCGCACAGCATTCCAAATATTCGAAGTTTCTACAAAAGGAAGAAAAAAGTTAGTTACCGGTACGAGAAAGGCAAAGGCGGCAGGAGTACAACATGCTAATAGGATAACTTACTGATACTCCGTAGCGTAGGGCCAAACCTTGGAGTGTGTCTCCCTCACAAATTTCATGCCTTATCGTTTCTGTAGACTTGGGCCTGGTGACAGATGCTGCCTTGGCTGTGCCATAGCTACGGGCATTGCCTGAAAAGTTCAAAGTTCTTTTCTCCTCCTGGCGCTCTGCCATGATGAATTCACAGACTTTCTTCCTCAGCCAGGATAGAAATTAAACCAAAGCAATTTGAATATTTCATTCACACCACCATTGCTAAGAGCGCACCCACATCCTCGGAAAAGTACGACCAACACCAAACAGGAATACAATGACTTTCACGACGAAGCTACCAAGCACAGAATTTTTCTGAGCTGACTTCATCTGAAATCCATTTTTCGCTTCCCATTCACAGTTCTCCCTGGTGCGAAGCTCCAAAGGCGCCGTGGCGAAGTGGTAGATCTACGTCACATCTCGTGACTTTACCCTGATCATACACGTCATGTACGTGTGTCGTGCATTGATCAGATCAGCAGATCAGAGGGATCCCGGGCCGCGGGAGTAGATCTACGAGTAGGCAAAAATGCAAAGCCCGATTTTAATTTTGCCAGTGAAGCCGCGCGAGTTCGATACTTTGCCGCAACATTTTGCTGGCTCCCCGGCTTCAAAGTTTGCTCCGATCCGATTCCAAGGCCAAATTTTTGTCACGTGTGAGAAAACTGATCGAAAGTGGGTAACGTGCATTAAAAAAACATACCCGATATTTTGCTCCATTTTCCACCACCCGGCAGCAAATTCTCATGTCAAATTTTTTCAATAATTATTTTGCTAGCAGAGGGACCCTCTGTCTGCATGGGAAACAGTCACGGTTCCTGACTGTGCCTCAGTGAGAGTAGTAGACAGACATCATCAGCAAAACCAGGGCTGGCGGGGGGTCGTCCATGGTGTCAAGAGTCTATTTTCAAGTGCAGTCAACTTCGCTAATAATAATAATGAACGACTGCGGATATAACGACAATTCGCGAATAACGACATAATTTTCATGCCCAGAGCAAAGTCCCATCCAACTGTGACACATATAATGAGACATCGGGTACAACGACACTTCGTGAATAAGGACACTTTTCTGATGCCCCGCCGAATGTCGTTATAAGCGAAGTTGACTGTATACCATGAGCAGCAATGATCCAGGCGCGTAGCACCGCCGTTGACTGTGGTCCGGCCAGGGTGGTCCGGGGGGATCTGGTCCCGGAATTTTTTTGAAATTAGGGTGCAAAATCCTGCATTCTGGGCACTTTTGGCATTGTTTTACTATGGTGGCCGTGCGAAAAAGTGGTCCGGCCAAAGCCGGACCGGCCGGAGCGGCTGCTACGCCCCTGTGATCGACTACGGTACAGGAATAGTGCTCCGAAAGACTCGGAGCTGATCAAAAAACATTCACGCTGATGGAAGGCAGAAACACTTTTAAAAATACGGGGTTCAAGGTCGGGGTACTCCAAGTTGCATGACCAAGTGGCAACGTTCCGATGGCAGACAACCCACACGGAGGGTCCCGAAGATCACCTGGGGCATCATCGGAAACTCGCACTGCCATCGGGGAAAATATCACATCAGCGGTATCATCTTGCCGGAGTTCTCAAATAAAATCTTCAATATAGCAAGAAGGAGGCGTCAAATTGTGCACTGAGTAAGCATAAATAAACATCAACGGGATCAATGTTTGCAACTTCCCATGGGTCAGTAAAACCTAGCCGCATGATTCTAAACAGGTCACGATGGGTCAACGACTCAATCAGTCAGAGATAAAGTCCAGAACAACTGAAGACGTAAACCAGCACTCGGTATTGTACAGCGGTGGTTGGAATGCACTCGCTGAACATGGGTTAGAGTACAGGTCGATCTTCTCCATGGCCATGATGTCGCGAGACTGTAGCAAACGGAGGATGCCGACATCGCTGATCTTGTTATGCTCAAGGTTGGCACGCTGCAAACTGGTGTTTACCGTCTTCAGTTGAACCAGAGCGTGCGCTGTCCCATCGCCGACATTGTTCCAGCCCAGATCTATCCAGGCAATGCATGGATGGGTCTTCAGTGCCTGAAGAACACTGGCGCCAACTTCATCTGATAAATGCGTCATGCAAAGAGATACGAAACGCAGCTGCTGGCACCTCGCTAAGCTCTGCACTAGTCGGTGATAGAAAAGCAGACTGCCAGCCACCGACGTCTCGAATATCGGGTTCTCAGCAAGAATCACAGCTCGGACAGCTGAATGTGATGACGTCACGGACTCGAGTACGGCAGCTGCACCGTGCACCTGAATGCGGTTGCGACCGACGTTGACCAGTTCCACGGACACGTTGTCAGCGAGGCCAGACGTTGCCAATGTCGTCGCACCTCCATCTGTTATCTTGCAATTACGGATGTCAAGAAGATCCAAATCATTGCAGGTAGCGAGGTATTCACCAAGCAATGACATCATGCCGTCTTGAAGTATGCCCGACAGTTGGCCGCCATATTCTTGCACTAGTTCCTGCATTGATGATGCCATGACAGACGAGCCGCTCACATAGTGAGTGCCGATGCTGACAACATCACTTCCACAGTGACCGGAGCTAGCAACCTCAACGAGCAGTTTCGTTGTGACGCTGTTTGCATTCAGGCACAACCGGCAAGTACGCACAAGCCGGCGCTCCGCGGGGCTCTCCATGCCAGTATCATCGCGTTCAGCACAGTGACGCGCTTGTAGAAAGCCGATAACACTTGGCGCAAGCTCGTCGTTGAGATTGTTGTTGCGAAGATAAAGAAAACGGATATTCGTATGGAATTGGAGGGCAGCCAGGACACTAGACACATTATCATTAGATAATGAGTTATTATCTAGCCATAGTGTTTCCAGGCAAGGTAGCTTGCTGACGACAGTGCTTAGGTCATGACCTAATCCAGCCATCACATTACAATCCACCAAGCCCAGTTTGGTAAGATTTTGAGCAGGTACCAGGTGGTTTGCAAAGGACGCTACCCAGTTGTTGTCAATGCTGCTTCTTTCTAGGCACCCTCCTCCTACGTACAGCGTGGATAGAGCAGCATGTTGTGTACACCTGGCAAGAGACACACCATCTTGCTCGGCCTTGCTCCAGGATATGTTGAACATGCGCAGCTCCTCCGTGCACCCTTGTTTAGATGTGGACAGCGATGAAGCTATGATCTCCACGGGCATGCCACTGAGATGATTGCAGCTCAGAGTAACCCTCACAGCCTTGTCAATTACGGTTGCCAACATGTTTACGTGTTCATCGGTGAGGATGCAGTTGGTGACATTCAGCAATGGCGTTTGATTGACAAGTTGTAGAGTATTGCATACTGCCATGACATCGATGGTGTCCAGTTGCACTCCATAGACGTCAATGCCGTCTGCTGTTAGCATCCTTGCAGCTGATTGATACACACCCAGGCTGGGAATATCAGTAGGCAGGAGATCATCAGTAGCGTAAGCGGCAGACGAATGCAGGGAGAGCATGTTCTCCAGAACAGCACGCATCATGAACAAGAACGTCTTCTTGCTCAGCTTGCCACCAGCACGGGTTGCGACTGACTGTATCGTACCCAAAGCAGGACACAATCGGTCTGGCCGGAGTTGTCCAAAGACGAATCGCCAAAAGATGTAGCGGCTTTCGTCCATGCCGATTTCACGCATGCACTCATGAAGAGAGTCGACACAGCTGCCCGGAGATGAGATAACCCTGGATGCACACCACTCTTGCACAGTGAAATGCACAAGGGATACATGGCGGCTAGGTCTGGCCCGTGAGTGGCCACTGACGACGTCAACGACAAGCCCAAGATCCTGGCAAACAGCCAGATCTCGCTGCGAAAGACGGGAAGACGGAAACAGAAGCGCTCTTTGCCGCAGGCCATCGAGAGACAGTGTGCAGAGATTGTGCAGGGCACGGATGATGTCCACAGCAGCACGGTCGCATTCATCATTCATGGCATTGCACTGCATGTCAACGCTGCCCTCTAGAAGATACTCAATAGCTGTTTCGATGGTGATGAGCTCACCACACCGAAAGCGGCGACCACCACACAAATGGCTTTCGATGTCACGGGCAAGCCGAACTTTGCCAAAGCTAGTGCCGCGTCTTGTTCCCAGCTTAGCCACTGCCGAGCACACAAATTCGTTGTAGAAGAGAGTAATGCTCGCCGGTATAGACTCAGTGATGGCGTACTGCTGGCAAAGAAGTGCACACAGGAGCGGCGTCTTTCGGATTGCTTCCTTCAAAAGACGATTGCTTGGTTGCAACAGATGTGCTATGCACTGCCGACCCTCAGTGTCACCAAGCTGTCGGACACAAAACTCCTCCAATTGCGATTCATTGAATCCTCTCAGTCGGTAGCGTCGCTTGCATGCCTGCACAAGATTGTAGGCTCCTTGATACGGCCTGCTGGTGACAACGACTGTAGCGTTCAGGAGACGGCTTGCAGAGGATGCACCACCTGAGCGTTTTACCAATGCCTTTGCTGCTGATTGCTCCAGTAATCCGTCACCACCGACTTCATCAATACCATCCAAGATGACCAGCACGTTCTCTGAATGAGTTTGCAGATGCCGGAGAACTGATCTCTGCTCCTCTCCATTAAAATCCATGGATGCTGCATCCAGGCCAAGTAGTTCAAGCCAGCTCTCGCTCCGGACACGTTCCAAATTTCGGCATGGGATGTAGAAGACAAACTTGAATTTCGCCAGGGGGCCTGACATTGCGTCCGTCACTTCGGCAATGACACGTTTACAGAAGGTTGTCTTCCCTTGACCAGCTCCGCCGATTACCATGCAGCTGGTTTCTAGCTCAACTCCGCTATCATCACTTGTGGGAGTGGCAGCAGCAGCAGCAGCAGCAGTGCGACCTGCACACACACCGTGATTCAATGATGTTGCCTGAGCTGCTTCACCGGTCAGCAATTGTACCGCGTTTTCCAGCACAAACTCTTTCCCACCATGGACGTCTTCATCTTCATCCCGTCGGTGTACTACTTGACCCCTACCACCACTGCCACTCACTCCCAGCGCGTGTTGTTTCTGCTGCAAAGCTGTGGCCATGCTGTGTCTACGATGGTGTTGGTATGTCACACGCATGGCATCCTTCTCACTCATGGCCTGCAGTGGCACAAAACAACTCCTGATGTCTGACGTCAAGCATGACAGGTCGCTGCCACCATCATCGACAGTGTTGCAGAGAAACTTGTTGGCACTGCTCAAGTTCTCTCGCAATACTTGCAAGCATGTCTGTATGTGACGACTCTCAGTCACCTGCGTGTTAGCATGTGACTCGGCTACCTTTCGTTCGACTAGCTCTTCCAAGGTTTCCATGGACAGCACCAAGTCACATCCGGGGACGTCTCCTTCAGTCATGGTTTCCTGGCACTTCTTTGCCTGTCGCTCCAAACAATCAGCAATATCTTCCAAACCCAATCTTTCTCTCAGAACTGAACAGAACACGTTGAATGTACCATTTCTGGATTTTCGCTCCACTCTGAGCAGGTACTTTATTAAATCGTTGACTCGATCAATGCTCGCAGTTGGACTTGTACTGATTTTGACATAGTCTAGGTCACGACGATCGAAAATTCCAGCGTCCAACAGTTCGTCTACCGTTTCATCCACGACTGTGGCCAAGCGTCGTTGCAGCTCCAATCGCAAAGCATCCAGCGCCAATATCTCGTACCAGTGCATAGTGACCGACCGACTCCGTCCGGAATCGTGCTAGCGCAGGTAGATCTACGATCCACGGACAGTGGCTATAACTGTACATGTAACATAAGCGACTTACTTCTCATCTTGGGCACAAAGCAACAACCATGATGACAGAACTGACAATCTCTTTCGGAAAACATCCTACTTTTGGTGGATTTTACGCTTTCATGGTTTTGTGAGCGGGATGGCCAGATCACCAGCTGATCACATGATACAGTATTGTTATTGTAATGATAGTAGTACTACAGTCCGACTCACTACTACTACTACTACACAATAATTATTAGAAGTCTACGTACATGTAGATCTACACTACAGCCAGGAAGTAGATCTACAGACTACAGTGGTGGCCAAAAGACCCCACCTCGCATCATCCGAAAACATGATGTTGCTGAGCATAATGCAGCTTGTGGGTGGTGTGGGTTGTGACTTGTGTCTTATGCCCGCAAACGCTCCGCAAACAGAACGGAGGCGCGGCGGACGGTGAACGGCATCACCGTCCTGACATGGCCCCTGCAGCCACCTGACCTCAATCCAACTGAGAATCTCTGCAAAATTGCTGGGCTGAGGCAGCACGATGTCGAAATCACCCCCAGAAACCAGTATGAGCTGTGGCGAGTGTGCCGGGAGGCATAGAAGTTGATTTCTCCTCACGAGCGCAAGGAGATCGTTGATTCAATGCGGCAGTGTATGCAAGCGATCATCAAGGCCAAGGGAGGGGTTACAAAGTGGTGGATGTATCTGGAATAGGCCGGGACTGACTTCTAGACTTTAGTTTAGTTGAATACTTTTTAGAAATCACACTATTCCGTGTATCGTATTGGCGGTTTATGATAATGTGGGCGTTGGCCATAAGTTTTGACCCACCTTTTACATATACTTGACCACAGTAGTCCCCAGATGACTCCGTGTTTCAGCATTTTTCATTTCTACTTCACTATTCAGCCTGATTCAGAGGTCCTCGACCAAAAATTTAGTAGCTTACAGCCCGGCAAACCTTCAGAATTCGAAAAATCTGCATGGTGGGTCAAAACTTTTGACCACCACTGATCATGACTTGTACATGTACATTGTACTAACTTTCTTGTACTTGTATTATACTTACTGTAATTTCAGAAATTTTCGGTGTACTTCTATTTTCGGTACTTTCGGTGCGTCTGTTTCATACCTAAAATTTCAATACACCGAACAAACACTAACACACATAAACCAATAGATGATATGCCAAATAAGCGCTCGAAAAGTTGAGAGGGCATGCGATTGATGCGCCCAGGCTTGCTTGTCAAGTGCACGGGATGTGCAAAGTACACGGATTTTAGGCTTGTTGCGCGCTTACGCGATCAGGTGCTGCACGTGCATGAATGGAATGCATGCAGTTCCACTGTTACTGCATTTTAGCATTCCGTCGGAGAAAATTTTCGGATGAAGAAAAGGAACTCTGACACCTTTGTGCATAGTTTGCTTTCAATATTTCATTTTGATACCCAGATATGGCAGCAAGAAATAGTACACCAGCCATAGCTTCTCGTTTTGCGAACCCACCTGTCGGCGAAACGATTGCTAGATGGACTTTTGCTCAGCTGAAAACGTACATGTACGTGAGGGAGAGATACCGGTAGATGGAAAGCGAGATGATTTGTTGCAGAGGTAAGACCGAAAGATTTTATTTTATTCCCAACGCCCCAGAGCTTAGGACGGGGGACAATGATGGCAGTCGGCTCCGAGCAGCGAAAGGGCGATGAAAATCCGTTCCTCCTTCACTGGTCGCTACAGCAGCGAATACCTTGACACCATCTGCATCGGGAACAGAAGAAGCTGCTTCTCCGCTGAATCCATCAAATCATAGATGCTGCTCAACAAACAGACGCAGAATTTCCCACCGAGGCCTGGAGCCATCGCTCGGAGGATTTGCTAAGTGGTGTTTCTGCTAGTGCTGTACTCCAGCATCTTCAGAATCGAGAAAGGTACCTAACGTCGGACACAGAAACCATTCGGGGATGAGTCCTTCTTCTCGCCATTCGTTTAAAGTGTTGAGTGTTGCTTCCCAGAGCCAAAGAATTCTGGACCGCAGAGATACTTTGTCAAGGCTAAGTGTTGGGCATCTCAAAAGAAGGAGAGCTAAGTGTGTGCTACAGTGCTAAAAGAAAAGCATGTACTCGAAGTGATGTCTGCATATTGCACTTGCACTGCAGCATTGCATGCTCCTTCCACCACATTGTTGCATTGCTGCTGACCATCAACTATTGTGAGATGAAAGGTCAATACCTGGCATATGCAACCTAGCAACAACAGCAATGGGGCACAAGAGCCAAGGAACGTAGTTGCGAGAACCCTTATGAACCACCGGGGCATACTGACACTTGCAACATTGATTTGCCTTTGTACTGGGAAATCCCGCCTTCCCTATCCCACATCACAGTGAAGGTGCTTCTAACAGAGGTAATAGCAATAGAGCGCCATACCCAACAGCAGATTGGCAGCGGCCTATGGCATAGGCTGAGAAGCAAGACCCTGACTGCTTCGCAGTTTTACCTCATCCCTCACCCGAGTGAGATCACATCAGCGTTTCTTCCGTCATTGCTCCAGGCAACCAGTTTCTCATGTGCTTCCGCTATTCGTCAGTGCCAGCACAAATAGAGCTGTTCTTTTTTTGTTGTATTTATCTTTTTACTAGGGCCATCCCTGCAGACAATGCGCCTTTTTACAGGGTGCTCGAGGTAAGTGGGAAATGGCGTATTGCAAAGAGGTTACGTAGAAGGTTGTTATAACATAACAGCCTTCTACGCAGCCTCTGCGGCATGACGAAGGAGGCTGCCTAGCAGCACCCCGATGGAAGAAAACTCCAGCTATCACAGCTATCAGAGACCAGGTACCTGTATGTTTTCCAAAGAGAAGCCATGTCGTGAAGAAGCATTAGGTAGAGCTAAAGCGAGGGTGTACTATCCCCTCAGCAGGCCTGGTCAACGCTTCCGTAGCCAGCGTAGAGTGAATATTTTGACCTAAAAACAAAGGAAACTCTGCAAAGAGGGGGCTGGGGCGCTATGGCATGGCAAACAATAATTACTACAAAGTTTTAACGGATGGCGACGGGAATATTTTGTGGCGGTGACAAATGGTGGCTGCTGGGTAGCCAAATGTTATCTTGAGACTCCGCTTGATACGTCGCATGACTGTGTTGTCCAAGGTTACTGATATGATGCCTTGTCTTTGAATCGGGATACCCGCAGAACTCCAAACATGCGACTGTTAGTCATTTCGCTCAATTTTGCTACTTTATTCTTGCAGTCACCCAGATTGCATTGAATACTGTCGAATGCTTCCTCCAGCGTAGGGACAGTATGCCTGGGATATCACTAGGTATGAGTCGTATGTCTTCAGGCTGCTCCCGTGCAGTAGCTCACGACACGAGGTAGAGCGACGCCGGTTAGCATCAGCCGCTGTTGTCTTGGCGGACCAGATTGACAACTCCAGATACAAAATGTTTTACCAGTCTTGCTCTGGCGATTTTCTCCCCTTGTAGATCTACATAATCTTCTGGCAAGAAATGGTCAGAGCACACCGCTGTAGTGTCACTTTCTTTTGCTCTCCTTGCCTTTCCTCCCGTCGAATAGCAACAGTCCATTTCCTTCACAGTTCAGGATGATGGAAATTATGGAAAAGACGAATACCATTTGCTGGGGCTGGGGAGTAACGCCGGTCACCAGTACATCCTGGAACACAGCAATGGTCGTGGTTGGTCGGTATCCGAAAACAAGACAGCGGAAATCACTCCAGCCGCTATATTAAAAGCAAGCAAAACTGTTTTTTTCTATCCAGATTTACAGCTTTAGTTTCAACGCCGAAGGAAGTGCTAAAACTAGTAACGGTGGAACTGCATGCATTCCATTCATGCACGTGCAGCACCTGATCGCGTAAGCGCGCAACAAGCCTAAAATCCGTGTACTTTGCACATCCCGTGCACTTGACAAGCTAAGCCTGGGCGCATCAATCGCATGCCCTCTCAACTTTTCGAGCGCTTATTTGGCATATCAACTGCTTCTCTGTACCGAAAATTTCTGTTCACCTAACCTAGCCTGTTGCCCTCATACCGAAAATATTGAGCACCGAAAATTTCTGAAATTGGAGTATGTAGACTACAATCATAATGCATGTACTATTACTAGTACAGCATGCTGTCCGCAGATTGTCTAGTTAGTTTAGGCCAAAGTTAGTTACCATGGTTACTCCCCTCCCTCCTCTCTCTTTGCCACTCTTTCCTGACCCTCCAGGAAATCGCGATTCCACGGATGCAACAAATTTCGCGATTTTGGCCCAAACCCGCGATGTTCAGCAAAATCCGCTATTTCCCGCGTTTTTTTTGTTGTTTTCTGCACTATATCTCACATTTTTATGCACTTTTCACGCAGTTCTTTCCATGATCCTGTAGGTTATTTGCACAGTACTCCCGAGTAGATATACGATGCAACAAATTTCGTGATTTGGCCCAAATCCGCAATTTTCTGCAAATAATTCCGCGAATTCCTGGCAAATTCTGCATCATTCCGCACTTTTCGCCGCATTTTTTGTTACTTTCTGCCGCAATTTCTTGCGCAAGTTTTCGAGAGTTTTTTTCCGCAAATTCCCGCAGGGACAGTCTTTCCTACCCTTTGCGAGGCTTTGGCCTTAGCCTTACTGGCTCAAGCTTAGACTGAGTTAGAGTTCTTGCTCTCCTGCTCCCCGCCCTTCCACTCCCCATTTTGTTTCCTTTGGTGCACATGTGCAGCTGTGATACCGAGACCCTTGGTCGGCTGAGCTTCACAGGTCCCACCCACTCCGTTCTGCTGGATATGATTATGTATGAGGGCTTGAAAGTGCTACGTCACAGCATAGCAACAATTTCAAAAATTCAAAAACTGGATCCACTTGGATCCAGTTTTTGTATGGATCCAAGCACATTTCAAGCAGTCTTACCCACAGCATGGTGATGTAGCCAGTGAGACTGACTGATTTGGCTACTTGGGGCGGGGTTACAACTGGTGGCGAAATAAAAGTCACACCTGCATGCGACATGAGTGGGTTGCTATGCACCCACATACTTAGGCAATAGCAAAGTCACACCTTAGTGGATCCAAAAATAGAAATCTGATGTCAACTTACTACTCCCTGGCCGTTTTGACGTCATCACTTTCAAGCCCTAATGTCGAGTTCTCCTCCTCATTTTAGTTCATCATGCATGCAGTGAGTGTTCAATAGTAAAAAATAATAAAAATATTAAAAAATTGTAGACTCTACATTAGTCATTAGGGCCCGACGCCCTATACCGGTACTATTGTAGCGTTGGCACGCTAGTAACTCACACAGCTGCAGCGTGAATCACTTTCAATGTATTGGTCACGCGTGTTACACCGCACCCGTACTCCGCACTTGCAACTCTGTACCGTGCTTGCAGATCCATGACACGGATAGCAACTAGTCTCACGGCGTTCAATGTTTCATATTGACCTTAGAAATATTAGTCTAGACCTTTTGCTGCACTTTCAACCACCTCTCTTACGCCCATTGCCCACACTGCATTCAGCTCCTTCTTCTGCATAGAATCAAATGGCATTCCTTGTGCAATGACTGTAGCCCACACAACATACTTTGACCTTTCTTCTTCTCTCTGCTGAGCTTTGCCGTGACCATTGCTGTTGCAGCATTTATGCTGTCTGCCTATAAAAGCTGCTGTTCACAATTCTCTATACGCCAGTTAGAAGTTCAGTTAGAAACTACAGTTAGAAATGCCAGTTAGAGATACCAGTTAGAACCTTCAGTAATGTCAGTTTAGAGTTAGAGTCAGAGTTAATGTTTAATAATTATTAACAGTGTGTTCACTGAGACCCGTCTGCATTTGCCTCCGAGAGAGACTGCGGCCCGTTACAGAATTGGTGGCAGCGGTGGTTCAATTTTATAATTGCTAGATTCGAACCCACCTAGTATCTGTATTGCATTGATGGCAGCGGCGCTACAGAATTGATGGCAGTGGTAAATTGTTTTATTGGTGTAACCGGTACCAGCATGGCCCAACCTGATGCCTCAGTCGCCGCTACTCCTTCGCCCGCCACATCTCCCCCAAGCCCGAAATGATGACGGACAGCGTCTCTACCGATCAAGCTCCATGTCCAATGTAAGCTAATTCCCGATATGGCACTTTTCTTTCCTGTCTTCCTTCAGTCTTCCTGTTCTCTTCAGTCTTCCTTTATGCGAGTGCGTGAATCCAGTTTAGTTAGGTAGGCGTCCGATCATGGTGAGCCACGGTCTATCTAGCTAACCTGGGACGATGTGTGTGACAATGCCCCTTATAATGTATTCAGTTCGGTTTTTGAACTGCGATTGTGCTGGCAGGTTGTGCCAGGGTTGGGCAGCAAGAGTGCTGTGGTTTTCAAGTCCCATTTGGAGGACGGTTCTTTCCCCTTTTGACCCCGTGAGATCGTGTGAGCCTGGTGTGCTGCTACTTTATGATTTTATCAGTTCATTTCCTCTTTCGATCTACTCCAAACGTTATCATTTCCAATATTATTTTGCCATATTCCGGTTGACGCTGTACCAGTATGATGCGCTATCTCCTACCATGTTCAATGATTATGTTCGCACCACCTCTCAGTCCTGTGATCTGCTGCTGCGCTCCAGCCAGTACTTCAATGTCAGTTGTCATCATTGCGTCCGGATATCAACCGAGGCTGTTCACGAATACATACCTGTATATGCAAGTCATCCATTCTGCCTATCTTCTTCCGTCGAGGTTATTCCGACGCGACCATGCATGCCTCCAGTGTCTTCTAATCTCAGTCGATTGTCGGAGTCCGGCTATCAAAATAATGTTACTCGCGAAGTCTAGTCTGCGTATCTTCATGATCTTCTACCAGTGTTCGTCACTTCGTGTTCTGCTACTCCTACTCTAATCACGAGGACGTGATTCTGTTTAAAGAAGGAAGGTGTAGCGTTGGCACGCTAGTAACTCACACAGCTGCAGCGTGAATCACTTTCAATGTATTGGTCACGCGTGTTACACCGCACCCGTACTCCGCACTTGCAACTCTGTACCGTGCTTGCAGATCCATGACACGGATAGCAACTAGTCTCACGGCGTTCAATGTTTCATATTGACCTTAGAAATATTAGTCTAGACCTTTTGCTGCACTTTCAACCACCTCTCTTACGCCCATTGCCCACACTGCATTCAGCTCCTTCTTCTGCATAGAATCAAATGGCATTCCTTGTGCAATGACTGTAGCCCACACAACATACTTTGACCTTTCTTCTTCTCTCTGCTGAGCTTTGCCGTGACCATTGCTGTTGCAGCATTTTTTTTTTATTTTTTATTTTTTTTTTTTTTTTATTGGGAACACAGCCCTACAAAGAGACATGTGGAGACAAACACAAGACAAGACACAGGGGATGTAGGGACGACGTGCCGATGTACAGGGAGCAACTCGACCGACCAGGGGTCTCGGCGTTAGCGTTGCAACCTGGCATCGAAAAAAAGGGGGGGGGGGTTGCATGGTCAGGTAGCAAAAATAATAATTTGGTGCGAGAAAGGGGCGCTAGTATTGCACCAAATAATATAAATTAATACGTGTAATGACTAAACCAGAAGGGAAAATGAAGAAAGAGGACAATAATCATAACAAGCAAGTAGTAGTAGAGAGGTAAATACTAAATGGGTCTCAAATCTCAATATCATCGTCACAGGTACTGTGTGGACCACAGCCATCTCTTTCGGATTAGATCCTTATATACGTTGACCTTGAAGGTTTGGAGGCGTCTTGAATGAGGCTCGTGAAGCAGGAGGTCCGCAGGCAGGTTGTTCCAGGGTGTGATGGCGAAGAAGGGGAAGGATCGCAGGAGGTAGTCAGGGGCTGTGCGAGGGGGTGTCCACTTCAGCTGAAAGGCATGGTGCGTCTGACGTGTTTGCCGTGTGCACATGCTAGCTACGGCAGGGGGCTTGGTTGGTGGCAGCATGGCCTTTACCTGGGGAGGCCCTGGAATGTAGTGCAGCTTGAACAAGTATGACAGGGCTGCCACCATCCGACGAAGCTGAAGATTTTGGAGGATGGTTCCAGGTCCCAGGAAATGCAGGGCACGTTGCTGAACCTTGTCCAGCTGGGCCATGTTAGTTGCGGCTGCGCTCGACCAGGCCATTTTTTTTTATTTATGCTGTCTGCCTATAAAAGCTGCTGTTCACAATTCTCTATACGCCAGTTAGAAGTTCAGTTAGAAACTACAGTTAGAAATGCCAGTTAGAGATACCAGTTAGAACCTTCAGTAATGTCAGTTTAGAGTTAGAGTCAGAGTTAATGTTTAATAATTATTAACAGTGTGTTCACTGAGACCCGTCTGCATTTGCCTCCGAGAGAGACTGCGGCCCGTTACACTATTAGGGAGGTTCCGGAGTACGATTTTTCGTGCCAAAATCCGTGGAGGCTCTACGGATTTTTTATACGTCGTTTTCGAGCAGTGAAAAGTTCCGGGGTACGGAACTTATGTGTTTGCCGTCATTGCCTAGGTTACGATCGCAAACACGTCACATTCCCGCGCTATGCCTTTTTATTTTGAAAATTTGTACCGAAATCAAAACTTCCCGCGAAAAATCGATGTTTCTCGTACCAAATTTGTACGCGAAAAATCTTTCTGCACCCGATGACGCAAAATCTCCATACGAAGCATGGTTCGTATGAAAGCCAGTCTACACGGATTCTCGTGCCGAAAAATCGTATGGAGCACGCCTGGAAAAAATCCGTAGCGCCCATACGGATTTTGGCACGGAAAATCGTACCCCGGAACCTCTCTATTACTACAGTGGTCCCTCTATAATCCGGCACCATTTGTGCCACGGAAATCTGCTGGATTAGGGAGGGTGCTGGATTAACAAATCAGATTTACTGCTGCAATGTGCATGAAAAGGACATTTTGGCTACTGAAAATTGTGCTGGTTTATCGAGGGTGCTGGTTTATAAAGTGCTGGATTAAAGAGGGACGACTGTACAGTATATTACTACCGGTACCGGTATTACATTGTACTAGTACAGTGCTGGCAACTGAAATCCGACCCTCTGAGCGGTGCGCTCACACCGCAAAGACCCCAACACGGGATGGTAAAACTACGAAACAGAGACCGCTAGAATGTGAGCCCACCGCTCAGGGGGTCAGATTTCAGTTGCCTGCACTGTAGTACACAGCTACAGATCTGCGAATTCAAATAAAAATGTACCTACCTACCTACATACATGTAAGTGGGTATACCCAGGTTTCAACAGTGCTCAACACCACAAGGGCGGAGGGTAACCACAAAGGTCAAAAAGAATGGTTCCACCAATTATACAAGTCATGTATACATACATGTACATGTACGTTGTAACGCTGCGTTTCATGCACGTACATGTACATGATGACTGTAGCTAAATGCTAAGGCAATCATCAGACAACTACAGATAGATACCATACTGAGTACTGTAAAACAAAACACAGTAAAACTAAAACTTTTTTAAAAAGTTTTAGTAAAACTAAAAGTAAAAAAAGGCCCTCTTCCTTCACAAAGAAAACTGAGTCGTTGTCATGGTAGCCTGTGAACGCGCGGCAACGCGACCGGTCCAAGCGCAGATCCAGTGCAGAGGCGCTAACCGGCCTAAGCCAAGGCTAGGCATGCATAGTCCATAGGCATAGAGCCATGATAATACAGATTACAGACTGTGGCAGTGGTAACGAAGTCGGTCGTCGAAGAAATGTCGTGACTGCGAAGTGCGATACTGACACAGACTCAGCGACAGACAGTCATATCTTGCACACAGCACAGACTAGATGCAGACGTTGTTGTGTAGCACCGGATCTGTATGTTGGGAGAGCTAGAAACTCGGCCATGTAGTATGTTGCCAAAAAAGAGGTTTGAGTAGAAACGCCTGATGATATTTCCTCAACAATAATGCAACCGTGAGTTCCAGTGTTCGAGTCTGAGACGCTAGCAGGGGTGGCCCAGTATGGATCGCTAAACTCCACCTAGATCGACAAGCAAGTCGCCGCCTGGCAACGCATTGTGAAACAATTTTTAGAAGGTGTGGACAGAGATCCACACAGTGACAGCAGTATGGATGGTGCAGGCGAAGCCGAGTTCGAGCGAGGTAATAATAATGTACATGTACCTAGCAACTACAGCTGCGCTTAGCTAAGCTTTAGGAAAAAAATGAATCCCTGATTCGAGTCCTGGCGGGGACAGGCAAAGTCCTCTATATTGCTATTCCCTGTCCAATGCCTTCAAACTTGTGACTTACATTGCATGCAGTTCTTGCGAATTTCACGATCCGAAAATTTGAGGAGCACAATGAACAGAGCAACGTACATAATTATACCGTTCGAGAACGCAGGTTAGAGGTAGATGTGGTTCAGGGCAGGCGTGTGTTGGAAGGTAAATCATTTTTATGAATTTGAGCTAAGGGGCCATCCGTAAATACCGATATTTATTTAGAATCGAAAACTAGTCATTAATTTTCTCTTCAACCCCCTCCCTCAGAAACAAACGCATACAAACGGTACATAATATCGATATTTTTTCTTTTTTTCTGGACATGCCCACACGTACAAACTGTCCATTGGTGAACTCCCGGTGCTACGGCCCTGGAGTACCTAGAGAACGTTGATGCTAGTTCTGCTGATGGTTGGGTGCCGTTGTCGCGATCTTGAATGTCATGGCGTGTACTTCAAAACATCATTGTTTCTCGAACCTTTCACGTGTACGTAGCCCCAAGTAATTGATATATACAGTCAACTTCGCTAATAACGACTGCGGATATAACGACCATTCGCGAAAAGCGACAGAATTCCCATGCCCAGAGCAAAGTCCCATCCCACTGTAATGCATGTAATGAGACTTCGGGTATAAGGACACTGTTCTGATGCCCTGCCGAGAGTCGTTATACGCAAATTCGACTGTAGTGTTGAATGTTTTGGAAGGGGGCTGTATTCGCACAAAGAAACTTGGAAGGGGGCTGTGCTGAACAGTTAAATTAAGACTTTGAAAAAAATCTTTCCTCTTTTTGCCGACCATACCGTATTTCCCCGTAAGTAAGTTTTCCCCAATGACTTAGTACCCCCCTATAAAAATACACTTTCCACTGCCGAGGTTATCACCCCGAAAGATAGTAAGTTCGTACCCGTCCTACATGTACAGACACCGTACAGTACATACATCATATGCACGGACACTAGAGTTGCGCAGGCTTCCCACTGCGTGTCATTTACCCCCGATAAAAAAGTGCTCCCCGAAAGATAGTACCACCCCGAAAGTTAGTACTCATGTGGCTGCTAAGTTCGAAAGTTAGTACGTACTAAATCACGGGGAAATACGGTAGGTCATCAAACACTTTAGCAGTTCGTAGTCTCACATTGTTGATATGCCGTCTACTGCATTCTATACGGTTCACCCTGCCAGTGTAAAGGATACATGATAGGCGTCCGGCATGCTACTCAATGCAATGATGAATATTATGAACGGTCGGTGTGAATCTGCTCTACCTATGTTATTTAATGCTTAGGACGGAGCGACAAGAGTCAGTTCGGCGTTCACACGGCACTGTCAGCACCGCTGGAGTCGCTGTCCGGCATGATGCGACCCAACCCTATCATCATCCGAACGCCCCAGCGGAGCAATGTGAGTGCGCCATGGTCTGACACTTCAGTTCCGTCTCAATACCATTATGTGCTACCGTAGTATCCCGCGGATAAGCCCATGGGCTTATCTGTTTCACAAGGACATTTCGGTGGGCTTATACGAGAACATGGGCTTATACGCCGACACCAAAATTGTGCTATTGAAAGTATCAAGGAAGTGAGAAGTACATTCAATAAAACCACTGTGCAAACAAAAACAACCGATGATTGTGTTGAAATGTACAACACAATACCTACATGTACAGTGAAACCTGTCTAAGGCGACCGCTCAAGGGACCTTCAAAATGTGGTCTCTGCTGCCAGGTGGTCTCCTTATCCAGGGTCATTTGACTGGAAATAGCATCCCTCGGTCCTGGTTACAGTGGTCTTCTGGGGCAGGTGGTCACCTTATCCGAGTGGTCTCCTTGACAGGTTTTACTCTACTACGTACATGGTCGACCTGGGCCCATGGGCTTGCACAACGAAGCTTGGTGATGTTTGAACTAACCCTGGGCTTTTGCGCGGCGCGGCGGGCATGGGCTTATCCGCGGGATTCTACGGTAGTTTTTTAGTACTTGTGCTTGCACTGATTTATTTTGAGTTTGTCGCTTCCACAGTACAGAGTACAGCTATCAAGAGGAATGAACAAAAGAACGTCCTATTTGCATGGGTGAAAACATATATTTAAAAAGTAAACTTTTGGGCCCGTTCCCAAAGGGAGCTCATGACGGCCGCTAACACCCGGAAAACTCACCCGGTAAATGGGTGAAAAGAACACCGTCAAAGAAAACTCCCCATGACTGATTGTCGGCATTATTCTCACAGGCATCTTCACGGTGCAGTGTCTATTGCTAAGCCTGGTCGTTGTGATGTATTATTGTATATGTATGCACGTTCACATGTTACAGAGCCATCAAATCAGGCCCGGAACAAACCCACAGCGGCAGCAGCTGATCAGGTAGAGTGCACTAAGAACACATTTATAAAAATGCAGTGATGCTCCTTCCGACATTGCTCAGATGTACATTTTGTTTTAAGGTGACAGTTTTCCTGGCGTATGGAATCAGGCATGGAACTTGATTTTGATTGTTGCAGGTACTAGTATCTTAAGTGTAACTGCATGCGCATGACAACCTCTCTCTCTCCCCCCCCCCCCCTCCCCCCCCCCCCACATATACACACATACAACACCTCCAACCCCACTATAGAGCAATACTTCTATTGCAGTCAAACATTTGTCTGCCACTGGTTTGCACTAGGGAACGGCAAATGAGCCAGCGACTGAGCGCCGAGCAGAGGAAAGAAGAGCAGTTGCAGGCAATGCGCACACGAGACGCAATGCGGGCGGGCACGCAAGCTGGTAAGATGTGCGGGGTGCTGCATGGCAGAATAAGTCACCAAAACACCTCAACGGCTAGTGCCAAGATTGTTTCGTCATATTTTATGACCAGCACTGGCAGCCTTCATGTGGATACACTATAGCAGCCCCTCTCTAGCTACATGTCTGTACAAGTGCACACAATTTTCGGTGCATGTAACATTTCGGCCTCCCAGGGCTAAAACACATTTCATCCGCATTAAAATTTCAGCCTGCCCTGCCGCAGCCTGGATACACGCATGCAGCACATTGTCCGCTGCGTCTTGGGTCAGTAGCCATTGTATTTGAGGAGGTTAGCGTGAGCAGTACTGTTAAAAACTCAAACTGAATTATCCTTCTTCCCGATATTTTGTGTGCCTGTAGTCGATCTCATGTAAAAAGGCAACACTGCCTGTCTGTTATTCGACATTAAATAAACCAATCCAATCCTATCCAACTGGGCGACTGCAGCCTCATGTACAGTAAAGCAGGACTAGCAGATTGGTCCGGCAGTCACATGGCCGTTTTTCACACTTTGTGTATGATGCGGCGGGTATACGGGCCCTGCCCAGTAGCAGACACATGTTCCTGGCCAACAAGTTGGTCCGGTGATAGCCTGACCGACCGGACCTATTCCGGCAGACCCGTAAAGAATAACTAGTACCACGGCTGTTGCTGTAGCATGCGATGCAGGAAATTTGAACCGAAATCAATCAGTACATAGAATGTTCTAGGGAGCTTAACGTCAGTCAAGTGTCAAGCTCAGCATCAAGCATGAGTTCCACGCAGGCGCAAACAACCGTATTTCCTAGGGAGGTTTGCAGATGATCATACTCAACTTTCATCAAATTTGGATGTCGTCCTGTATGGTATTCCTCAGACCGACTGCCGCCAATCTCTCAAGCCGGTACTGGTAGCCACCGCCTAGCGTACGCAGATGCTTCCGTCCAGCGAGAAAGACAACTGCTGGAAACTCGCATGCAGCTTGGCATGCCAGCAGAATCAGGACTTAGCCGGGCATATCAGGTGAGCAAGCTGTAGTCGAATTTCTCTGATAGTCAATGTGTTGTTTGAAATTTTTTATTCTCATGATGGTCTGTGGCCAATAAGAGGAAAAGAATTACAGGCACGGGGATCGGATACAGAGAGATAAAAGTTTAGCTGCTTGCTGAAGTAGTAGCGATGGCAATAGGGAGTTTTGTTGTTGTTGTTGTTGTTGTTGTTGTTGTTGTTGTTGTTGTTGTTGTTGTTATTGATGATTTTATTTCGATTCGATGACCAAAAGCGGACAAATATATCCAATAACAATGGGGCGAATGCGGAGAGGCACAGTGCCATAACTTTTTGAAGAGAGTAAGTGTGTGTGTGAGAGAGAGAGAGAGAGAGAGAGAGAGAGAGAGAGAGAGAGAGAGAGAGAGAGAGAGGGAGACAGAGACAGACAGAGAGAGAGAGAGAGAGAGAGAGAGAGAGAGAGAGAGAGAGAGAGAGAGAGAGAGAGAGAGAGAGGGAGACAGAGACAGACAGAGAGCGAGAGAGATAAAGGAAAGAAAGAGAACATGTCCCTTGCTGCATGGGAAGTACGAAGCAAGCAAGCTGGATGGATTTCAATCACGATTAGTCTTTGGAAGGTAGCTTTCAAGGGGACACATCGAGCAGTTGAATTGTATTATTAACATGCTACCCGATTAGAAGGTGTTGATAAAACTGATGTTTGCTGTCGTTTACACACTAGGTAATGGGAGATGGACAGTCACCGGTAGATTTCAAAGTGGCAGCGGACTCTGCAAGGCGCCTTCAGTCGGAAATGCATCTCTCCATGGCCGAGGCTAGCACCTTGCGAAAGTTGCAGCAACTTCAACACCAGCAGAACCAACTACAGCGGCAAGTCACCCCCCGGCTTGCATCACAGCCTCGTTCGCGCAGCGCCTCGGGACGCTTGAACGGCGACAGTTTGTCGTCGGTCTCTCTACCTCCGATCGGCAACGGGGTGATGACCCAGGGGCAACCTGCCCCCAGGGCCACCCAGGAGCAGCATCGCCAAACAGAGGACATTGGAATGAAAGTGCAGTCCTGGCATGATCTATCCAGGCTGAGCAACTTTGCAGATCAGAAACACACCAAGGTACATATAACACAGCAAAGTATTTTTTCTACAAGATCCACACACCTACAGACACTGGGGTAAATAATGGAGTGTGGTGGTGGGGCCTTAAGCTCAGCCGACCAGATGTCTCGGCTTTATACCTCCATTGACTTGTTGATAATATATGACAGGAATTCACAAGAAGCTCAATGTTGTATTTATAGTGTTCACAAGACAACACCTTTGATTTTGTTTTCCTCATGTCTCCATTTGAGTCTTGATTTGACAAACAACAGTTCTATTTAATAGAACTGTTGTTCTGCATTGTAGATCCGAACTGGGCTGTGCATTGCTGCAGAGTGGTATCTTGTTCTTGAGATCTGGCTTATAGCAAGGTCGTGCACATACTTCACAAGGAATTCCCCGCCTCCACTGCTTCGGCTTCCATCGCTATGTGTATCCATGTGCGATTTTGCCTGCGTTTGCACCACGATGGTTTGTGGCTATCTTGTAAAAAATAATACTAAAGTAAAATTCACACGAAATGAAGTAACGTGTCTGCCCATTTCAACTGGCCCTGTATTTCGAACAGCTTCTTACAATTCCATGTACAAATAATCTTGACATACCATTTTTGTCCTGATGCTCTAACTCTAGGAGGCAACGGGTTCCGATCAGCAGATTCCGGTCAAACACAGAACAAGTGACGAATCCCAAGAAGAAGATCAGACTATTGAAAGCAGTGAAACCTCACAGGCGCGGCAACATCCCACGCCGCAGAAGCTGAAGAGAACGATTGACGCCTCGAAAGTGCTCGAACAGCCGGAACGCTACCACACGTATGAGAGGAAAGCTCCTAATCCGACCCAGGAGGTGCTTGCGCCCAAAGAAACCTTCAACAACCGGGCAGACGAGGCCGAATTCCGACGGCTGACCAAAGCAAGATTGGCCAAGCTCTCCAAGCACGATCGCGAAGCAATGCGGCGAGCGGCCAAGGCGCGCCAAGCGCTGAGAGAAGCCGCGGAGCGGGAAAAGCAGAAACAAATGGTAAGAGTGTAATTCATGTAGTGTTATTAGAAGTACTGTCGCGGACACGGAAATCCAGTCGATTGATCGGGGCCGGTACCCTCAGCGGCGCGTACAGAACGTTGCATGTAGTGTGCACAGTAATGTTGAGGTCGAAGACATGTAGCGTGTACCGCTTACCCACGGCTGCATGGCCAACGCCCTGGGGCCGCTAGACGTTCGACCGGATTTCCATGTCCACGACAGTAGAAAGGAAAAGGACATATGGGTACAAGTTGAGAGTAACTGTCCTTTTCCTTTCTACATTTATTATTGGCTCAACATCCGAGTTATTAGAAGTACACAATCATGGGAGGGATGCCGGAGAGGGGGGGGGGACCCCAGGGATTCATTCGAAGCAGATTCTCAGCCATCTAGTTTCTACAAGAAGGTGCCTAGCATAAGTCCACAGTCGGAAGCACTCTTGTATGGATGCAGTAGTCAGAATGTTTGTGATATCACAGGGCATTGTTGTGTGTGTCGCAATACTGCCAGCTTGCCTTGACTTAGTATACAAGACCTGGGTGTATTGTGCTGTGGCTAGGCATTGTTATGTTGGATACAGTACTGTCAAGAATGGACTCAGATGGAGAGCCAAGGATCAATTTGTAGACAAGAAAAAGGACCAAGGAACTACAAGTTACGCTATAATGCATGAGCTGATTGTTTAGTAACTGGTGGTGTTAGTGGACATTATAGCGTAACTTGTAGTTACTTGGTCCTTTTTCTTGTCTACAGTACTGTCAGCTTGCCTTTTCTTGAGAGAAGTAACTTTGAGGCATCTTGCAGCTTCATCCGTAGAGAGTAGTTGGGTGGACATATCCATTCCCAAAGCACTGCGAACCGAACCAATTCTTTTACCAACGTTTCGGCAATATTGCCATCGTCAGGTACGAATGAACATTGCCTTGACTTGGTCTACAATACCTCAGTGCATTGTGCTAGGGTTATGTTGGATACTATAGTGTCCGTCTGCCTTGATTCATCGTGCATGACTGCTGTGCAGTGTTCATCGCATCCCAGCACACTGTGGAAATTTCCCATTGGCGAACACTCCACATGTGCTGTGTGTTGTTTGACATATTCAGGAGAACAAGCGGGCTAAGATGCCGCCAAAGCCGATGGACACGCAGAAGCTGAAGATCCAGGAAAACGCTCTTCGCAATCATGAGAGGCGTGTTGCTGATCATCAGAGTGTGTGTGCCAAGGTGGCTGGTAAGCACGGATGTTGCGCACTGAAAATGGAGTACTGATCACTGTGTGCACAACAGGGGTGGGATACCGTAGATGAGTGTTTTCGACACACTTGAAGCAAAGAGACAGATGAGCATTTGAACAGCAAGATGTCCAGATGAATAAGAAGAAGGGTGTGTTTGTTCGGTGGTTGAATTGGTGGCAGATGGACACTGTTGTGCAGGAGCGTCGGAAGGTATTTTAGTGTGGTACAGTCAGCCATCTGAAGTACAATTTACTCGTGGGGGAGTGGTGGCTGAGCCGAAAAGTTTGGAAATTGAGAGCCTAGATCAGTGTATTTTATTGATTCACGGGGTACCTGGGGGCAAAGAGTGGTAGGATCAATACGGTGACCGTACCGTGTGCGGCGCCCCAGGAGTGTGTGTGTAGGAGGGGGGGGGGGGGGGTTGCACAAGTAAACACAGGCATTGAACGAATGCACTAGACAAGGCCACTATTGGCTTCATGCTGAACATTCCAAGTGGTACATAACATTAGCTCTGCTGCCTACGCGGAGAGAAGGATAAACAAAACTGACTTTCTGTAGCTCTGAGTCCCCCGCCAGGGCAATCATCACAGAGCACAGTTGTTAGGTTTCCAGTCTGTTATACTACAGATACTCATGTACAGTCCTGCTCAATGAAATCCAGTCATGTCACTGAAGTTTGCGCCTTGCACCAGTCCGCAGCCCAGTGTTCGCAGGTCTAGAGCTGCGCGACGCCCGGCATGTGCTTGAGTGACGCCACTGGATTTCACTGAGCAGCACTGTAGTAGACCATGTGCGGGTGCACGTGTAAGACTTGCAGCAGGTCTGCTGTAGGATGATTTTTTTAGCCTTAACCACAGTAAATGGAAAACCTTGCACCCACCATCTTCAATCCCCCCCACACACACTGATCAGTCAACCACAGTGACAGGTCATTATGAAATGATGGACCATGTCCGAATTAAGGACCATGCTGCACTGACCTGAAATATGCACGGCGGGTCTTTCCTTTGTTGGAGATGCAGTAGTGATTGCAAATGTTTATTAAACTTGTCAAGCCATGTCCCAACAGTTATCTTTCTTTCTGACAACATCCATACGTGTTCTGCAGAAAAAGCCAACAAATCGGAGGAGCAGTTACTGATGCGGATTGCCGGTGAGGAGGTTGAGCGGTCGCAGATGGCCAAGGCAATGACCGTTGGAATGCCTATGTACGACGATCGCAGGAGATGTGAGTAGAACATAACACCGTTCAGACTTCCCGCCTCTTAATGTCGTCACTCAAAAAATTCAAAAATGATGTTTGATTCCACCTGAATAGACCATTACATATTCTGCAATGTATTTCACGACACTGGTCATCCTCAAGATTTGTAGTGACACATTGTTGCATCGTTTCTGCTGATGCGTGTCTGTATTCCCTGCAGACCTGCGTGGGGTGGAGTTCTTTCACCAGCGACACCAGTTGGGCACAGATGTCGGAGGAATACAGTGAGTTTTCAGCGCATTGGAGAACCAAGGGGTTTCACAGAACTGTGGCTCCTGGAATTTCAAGATCTACCTAGCCGTTTCTTCCATGTTTTTCATACCCCATATTCCTTGTTATCGTGATGAGGGTCAGCCCTTACAAGCGGGAGTAGTGATACAGTCGGACCTCGCTTAACCGCAAACATCTGTTTTCCACAAAAATATCCGGATAGGCGGCGGAACCAGATAATAGAACACATAATATACTAGCACACAAAGAGACGAAGCTAGTTGAAAATCTGATGAGGCCTTTCGTACCATTACTCTTCAAAATCAGTACATGGTGATAATGTGACGAAGCACAAGGATATCAATTTATACAGCATATTGGTGGAAAATTGTGATGAAACGTACACAGGCTGAATGATAGTGTGAGTTGCACCAAAGAGTACACGCACTATTTCAGGGAGGTGGGAAGTCAAAATAGCACTAGCTTCCTAACAAACTCCTTTTGTCTACAAAGCTCAGGTTACTCTGGATAGATTCTCTGCAAATTAATGAAAGGCCTCATCAGATTTTCAACTAGCTTCGTCTCTTCGTGTGCTAATATGTTTCCCTCCGACGAAGTCTCTACATAATATACTGTATGTATACATGACATATGCTGTAAACCGGTAACCAACGGGTTTCTTCTGGATCGTGAGAGATCCGGATAAAGGAGGACCGGATAAGCGAGGTCTGACTACTTCCAAAGGATTGAAAATGGTAGCAACCAGGAATTTTGCGCAGCCAATTGTCAACCATACATTCAATGTAGTCATGATCCTGCCGAGCAGGTTCCGGTTAGGAGGCTTAGGTTTAAAGACAACTGATTTCAGATCAGCCCGACTGTGACACACTGTTTTCTTGGGCTGGCAATAGCTACTTGCTCATTGGCCGCCTTCTTATACTTCCAGCATCCATTTTAATTACTCTGGTGGCTTGAAAGATTGAAATGTATCCTATTCTTGGCCATATCTCCTTTGCTTCGCAGCATGTCCCCGACAAAGAAGGAGAGATGCATCATTCCAGAACCGGAGCTTGTCGGAAAGCCTCTGAACATTCCTGGAAACACAGGTAACATTTGGTTTTGGGGTTCTTTTTGAGCCTTTGTGTGTGTGTGTGTGTGTGTGTTTGTGTTTTTTTTACGTATGAATGTGTATTTTTCTTCATGCACAACGTGGGCGATTACTCGACCTCTGGTCACCAATGTTCCCGCGTGGGAAGATGGGGATTGTAAGGTCATAGCTCTCTCCCAGGTTGTGAAAACTTGGTAAGGCGTTATTTCGGTTGATGTCGAAGAATACGTTGCAGACTTTCATTACCAAACAGTGAGGTGGGATGATGAAATTTGTTTCTGTTTTGTTTTGTGAAAGATGTAATCTCAGCATGTGTATACTTCACTCCCTATTAGGTAGCTTTATAAGGGGTCATCCGTAAATATCGAACTTTTTTTCACAAAAACGAAATAATTTCGTTATGGGGTGGGAGGAGGTTGACCAATTTCGTTTCAGAAAACATTGATTCATGTACATGGCCGTTGTATATGCATGTATATCAACATTTTTTACGTTCTGAGGGGGAGGGAGGGAGGGGTTGGGTCTAAACTAAAATAATTCGTTTGGTGAAAAAAGTTCGATATTTACGGACGGCCCCTAAGTGCAATAAGTATATGTTATCGCATGGTTGCTGCGGGCCTTATGGCATATTATTGCCCCGAGAGGTTAGCCCAAGGGCCGTAGGCCCGAGGGCTAACCTCGAGGGGCAATAATATGCCATAAGGCCCGCAGCAACCATGCGATAACAAATTTATCACATGGCCCGCAGAGCAGACCATTGGGCTGCTGTTGAAACTATCCCAAATGCCAACACATTTTAACCCTCATGCCACACAAGAGAGACGAGCCTGTGGGGTGTCGCAAGCGTTTATTCCAGCATGAATAATCATGAGCCTGTGATCGGTAATCAAGTATGAAGTACATGTACTCAGTATGAGGTCATGATTATAAATGATGTACACATATCACGCATCAGAGAGGCAAGGACAGCAGAAGCGACCCGCGGGGTCCTGCGCCGTCGGAACGGCTACGTGTACTACTAGGTTGCTATGGCAGCGGAACACTAAATCTTAGTACACATGAATAGTTCAATGGTGCCGATGTGCGTGCACTCTGCGGCGCCCATTGGCAGCACCCGTGCCTCCTGCCTTTTAAATGGTGCGGGAGGGTGGGAAACAATTTCTGCGGCGGGCAGGCACAACAAACAACTGGTGAATCTCTTTATAGACTGTGAGCCAGGCACCAAAAATCCTGTTAGAATTTTTTTTCGTTCCGACCTTGAGCGTACCGCAATTTTTTTCCCCAGTTCGTTTCATCTACTCGACTAGATACGAATTCAGCTTGTTGTCACTTCCAAATCAGGCACGAACATGCCCAAATAGAAGGGAGAAACTACTTTGGCCAAATCAATAGCCGCCATCGACAAGAACCAAGGTCACAAGAGCTGGAGCGGACTTCTGTTGCACCACTGACCTCGCAAAAATGTACGGTGGTGCAAACCCAGCCGCATCATGACGATGTTTTTTCGTGGTTTCTATAGTATTGTGTGCAGTGCTAGTGCAGCGCAGTGGCAGTACGAACATCATCATGTCAATCATATCAGTGTGCTAGCATGCTTGCTGCTGATCAGTCAAGCTAAACTAAAGGTTTTTGTAATCTGTTGGAGCAGAAATACATGTAGAACGTACAATGTACCTTATCTCCGGAGAGCTAATAACTGTTTCGATCTTTTATACTGAAGTGCTTCAGACTATGATTAATTGTATCTTTCCGCTTGTGTTCTGTACATACAATGGGTAATGGAACTAATGCTTCAAAATAATTATTATTATTATAGTTCAAATAAACTACAGATCTGTATCTACCGGTATACCCCTGCGGTCCTCTAACGTTACTGGTTACGGTCATTGCTCTACCCTTTGCACTTATAAGTTAGGAAGCAATACAGCAGTACTTACGAAGTAACGTTACATTGATCAGTTATATGAGTGCAAATATACAAATCCTGTATCCAGCAACTTCTTTAACATTATTCTGCCATACTGTACATGTATATATTATAGAGATGTAGAGGGTGAAATGAGCATTGCACCGGATTAAACCAGATTCTCCTGGCTGTTGTTGATGGTCTTTTCCAACCGTTGTCTGGAGAATTCGCTGCTGCTGGGCTTTGTATATTGAATGCCACCTGTTTGTTCTGTACATTATCATTCCTGAAATGCATTTCGTGGTTGTCGGCACCATTTCATGTGCACTTACCTACCAGTGCATCGTCACTTCGAGTAATATTTAAAATGTGCACGTACTTTATACAATGCACTTATGCGTAATTCTATAATTTTTGGCCACGTATAGTTATTTTAACCCAGCTGCAATGACGCTTGATATACATTTCTTCGTCCAGTGCCGTTGCCTGCTGAAAAAAGTAAGAAACACCTTCAAAATAGCATGTTGCTATGTCAGTTGCTATGTAGTTGCTATGGAAACGGGGTATGTTAAGATAATTGCTTATTTTGACTTCCCTGCAAGCTTCCCAAACTGACAACAATCAAAAATGATCTTCTATTAGGTCTCTCCACATGCTAAAAGAACAAAATCGCGGTACACCCAAAGTGGGAACGAAAATCATGAATTCATGCACTTGGCTCACAGTCTATTACTTGTTCCTGCCTTGCGAGGGTGGCCTTGGGTGAGCTTGCACCCAAGGCTGATAGGTGGCTTATACGTCATGCCGTACGCGCGTCGCGGTTGCAAAAGCTTGCGTGGGGCCCCACGCGGGAGCCCGGCAGTGCGTACGACTTTAGCGGAGCTCGTATGAGACTTAGCCGGTTTTGGCGTGTCCGCGGACAGCATCTCCATGCGGGAGATGCGGCTCTGTGACATGTAGGTTAACTACGGTTTGCGCAACGCAAACCAACATATGACCACAATGTATATTGATGTGCTATCATTATCAAAACAGGAAAAATGAAGATATTTCTCCTACACCCTAACAAAAAGTCTGCTACAGGCCATCAGAGAGTATACAGTACTGAAAGACGGAGACAGAAAAAAGTGCCGGCACGGCATCGTCATGGCAATAGACATGGCAACCACAATAAAACACAGCAGAATTATAATTTCAGTTGAAAAGAGTGCTACCACTCAAGAGTTTCTTCATGTTTACATGTGTATCAGGAAGTTGTTAAATACAGTACTGCAAGTATTTGACGACTCCCTGGTGTGTAATTCTGAGGACAATTTGTTTTCTTTTTATCAGCTCCAGATAGCTGTATTTTTCATTGCAAAACATTCCTGAATTGTTGTGTTTGTTGTTCAAGCAAAGGTGAAGGCAGAGGACAGATGACCCTGGTAAGAGTTATGCGTGGCACATGAAGACCACACACAGGCAGTGACTGCGAGGATCTGAAAACGCACGATGCGGAGTTGAATTTATTTGTGTTATTTCAAATAATTGTTTGTGATCACAGTACCACATGTGCACATCGAGCAGAACTGAATCTTATCCACAAGCTTACCGACGGTCAGGCTGCCAACATGACTGAACAAATGATCCCTGCAAGCACCACACGGCAGACGTCGGAGGCCATGTCCATTGCCGGGACGTCCATCTCCAAAAACAATTCCATCTTCGTCTCAATGCTACACTGCGACTCGTCGTAGAGTCGTACAGTCTACAGAGTCGTCGTAGACTCGTACAGTACAGTCTAGTCACGCGATCACTGAAATAAACTATTTTTTTGCGGGCAAATAAACTATTTTTTTGCGGGCAATATCGCATATTATTGCCCGCGGCGCGAAAGGTGCTGATTCGCTGGAGTACGGGCAACAATCACGTGCCATGTGATAAAGAATAATATTATTGATGCAGATGTGGCCAGGCAACAACAAGATTAAAGAATTTTATTATCCAAAACCATGATTTGGGATAATAGAATTCTTTAAAATTCTTCAAACTCATTGCTGTCTGGCCATGTGTTCATCAATTAAATTCTTTATCATTGCACGTATAAAATTGCTTTCTCCACGCCGGCTCTTATTAGGTAGTTATTGACATTGCGTTTGTAGTGCTTATGGGATTCAGGGACAAAGTGATACCATTGGTGTCTGTTCTGGTGCAGTGAAGCCACGTGAGCCGACTTTTGAATCGGTCGAAATGTGTGTGTGTGACCGTGTGCCTGAATATAATGGAAATCACTCGCTTGGCCAACAGGCTGCCAGCCTGCATGCAGTATATAAGTTGAAATCCACTCGTTCTGTGCTCTTCATTGTGCATGATTGCATGCAGACGCCAGTCGTCGGCAGTCGCGCTGGGCTGCTGCTCCGTATACAAGTCTGATGTGGACGGACATGGAGAAGCTGCTCTGGGAGGTCAATGCCATTCTGGATCATAAGCCCGTGAGTGACCTACGTCCAGTGCTGATTGGCAGGTGCTCATACACTGCTAAATGGGGCACTGTACCTGTCTGTATTTCGTGACGACAAATCTGAGTGTGACTTATACTCCGGAAAATGCGGTGCGCCAAACACTCAATTTTTCTCTGATATTGCTGATCCACCCAAGTCGGGTGGTGTGTTGCTTTGCTGCTTCGAATTGTAGTTAGATTGTCATGTTATTAACTGGTCTCGTCATTGTCCTGTAGCATTCATTCTTAGTTGCGGTGGGACTTTAGCTTGGGCACGTTTTCGCTGCGCTCACCTTCCCCTCTTCGGCCCTACCTAGCCGTGAACCTTCCAAGTTCAAACACTCAATCTTTAACTTATAAACCATACGTTAAAGAAGGCCGCCTTAAAATTTGCAGTGATTTAGACGTCAGCTTTCCTAGTTAAAATGTTCCTTTCTCCATTCATAAGCGCACAGGGCCACATGTTTCCTGTCGACTTGACATTTGATTGAACTTTCTTTGTAGAAGCCAATCGCAGGTTCAAAGCTCTCAAAATATTTCTTGAAGTGCATGAAAACCATGCTAGTATTCCCAAATCATTGCGAGCTATGCCATAGACAAAAGGGATACATTTGCACTAATGAAGGTTACCTCTTTCGACCTCCATTAGATTAACGCAATTACGTTTTTTGGTCTAGAATTGGCATGGCAACCCAGTCCACTGGTACCAGCTGCATACTTGTGTGGCCATCGTAGTCTTTGCACAGCCCGACTCAGGGCCAGCCATGTAGCTATTCGTCCCTCTATTCTTACCAGATACCAGCAGTATGCATGGGATGGTCAGATAATCAGGCTGAGGACCAAAAAAGGGGTACAAAACAACCGGAGCAACATTATTTTTATCTGCAAAAGGGCCAAAAATAATTTTCACCGCAAAAATGGGGCACTATCAGTACCGCATTCCCCCTCCCGTGCACCAGAACACCGTCCATGCATACTACCAAGAGTAGATAAACAAGAGTGTGCAACTCCGGATCTCTCCTGCACAATCTCCTGATACCCCCCCCCCACGGCGGAAAAACGCACTTCTTGCTGCAGAGCAGTGTGAGAGCACGTGCTGGGCACTGACATTGTAATGTAAGCCCGGCCAAGTGCACGAGGCAAAACTTTCCAAACGACTAGCAGCGCGTGGGTGGCCGAAAAGATTACGTCAACAAAAATTTCCGCCGTGGGCCAACCCATCCGCGCGGATCCGGGAGTTCCACACTCTTGTTTATCTACTCTTGATATTACTGATGCCCCACTGAAACAATAGCAATGTCTTTCCAAACCTCCCCTGTCTTGATTATGAGTGATGTTCAGCATGGGTTTGGATGCAGAAGTTGAAGAGATTGACTAAATTGCCGTGCAGACAAGGCAGGCACTGTCCCATAGTATTCTACAGCAATGCAGGTTACGATCATACGCACAGCCAGATTACGAATGACAGTCCTCCGGCTCGGTAGAGTGGTCAATATTCATTCCAATAGAGCTATCTTACACACCGCACAGAGCACCACGCATCATTCGTTGTAACTAATAGTTTTATGCCCATAGGCAATCATCAGCCAGCAAGATTGCAAGTGTGCTGGAGGTTTCCTTGCCTTTTCCCCAGAACTGAATTCTGATCTTAGATTCAGAGACCATGGATTTGCCCCTCGTAGTATGAGCCACGCCGACTTTTTTTGGGTGACTTACTGCTGCATATCCTCCGGAATATGCGGTAATTTTATCTTACTCGATGTGTTCTTTCTGTTGTGCAGGAGTTTGACCGGTTAGCCACACGCGGCAGATCAATGAAAAGACCAGTGACGTCAGGAGCCGATAGCAAGTGGGCCGTCAGCAGAGGAGACACGGCGGCTGTGTCCGCACCGCGGGGTCCACTCGAGCCGGCACGGTCCGGGGGCTGGCGACCCAAGTCCAGCCCGGCGGCCGCCGTCACCGACAAACATCGTGTGCCTCGTGTCACTGGTGATGAGAGGAGCCTGGCTCAGATGACGGGTAATGCCGACAACGACCAGCTGCTTAAGGCCGTCAACGACCGGCGCAGAAAGGAAGGAAAGAAGGCCATTGCCCGGCTACCGACGCAGTGGAAGAAGATGTCGAGCTTCGACGAGGGCACCGCCAAAGCGCACGTGTACGCCAGGAAGGATACGCAGAACCGCACTAGCCTGCAGCTGGCCATGGAGGACCCGGCCAAGGTGCGAGCAGGCGTCGCTCAGATATCGGATATCCGTCGCTGGCACCCGTACACGCCTTGGTTTGGCGGCCGGCCCGTCAGCGAGAACAACCCCGCTCCATTCGTGGAGAAGGCAAACGAAGACCCTGAAGGCTTGATGCCACGGCTCGGCTGCGCTCGGCCCAAACTAGATCGGAGCCGGAAAAGGTCGCACGCGAGCCATCAGCAAGATGGAGGAGCGCCGCCAATGTCTGGTGTGTCTCAAGACGATACATTGGACACCACAATCAGTGCGTATGCTGCTTCAGATCAACGGTTACCCGGGAGAACAACGCGCAACATGCTTCTCGAGGCCATCATCAAAGACAGCACAAAGCGGTTTGCCGTGGACCTGGGCAAGTCACCGGATACTGGCAACAATTCTGGCCTTGAGGCAGTCGATTCACTGTCGGTACAGGATGGGACCGATGCTCCGCGAGGTGATATCGCCGCCGGAGACGGGCATAAGGATACCAATGCAAGTCCGTCGGAGGTCTTCCAGCAGCTCAGTCGTGGCCTCAAATCGGAGTCGGCGCGGGCCCTGCGTCTCAAGGATGCATCTCAAAAACTCCTTCAGTACCAGCAGGATCTCGATCACCAAGCAGGTCAGACGAAAGCGGATGTTGTGGATGGAGAGCAGAAACCCGCCAAAGGACCATCGAAGGAGAAGGAGCAGGCATACTACGCGCTTGTCGGCAACAAAATCGTCTTTACGAAAACGATGACAAAGTAAGTGAAATGCAATCCGAATGGTCGGAGAATAGTTTAACTCTCGACTCGGGCATCCACTTCACATCCGCTCACTCCTCGCTCATCATGCACAGAAACAGAAACGATGCTCAAGCAATATACGTGGACCCATGACTAAAAGCCATGGATGATTAATTGTTGTTGTTTCTCACCAAATTCACTCCATCGACGTGCTTAGGATCATTTTTTATGTTGTTGGGAAATGCATGCATGTACCACACTGACTTTGACCGATAGAAGTGCAGAATATTGTGCATAATACCATACCATAATGGAAACGTGGAAAATGGTAGAGCACAGGTTATGCGTTAGAGTCCACCAACTAAACCAGATTGTTAACAGTTAAACGTTTTGAACAGTCTAACGCCTAACTTGCGCGTTTCCTACCAAATTTGACCCTGGGCTGACTCGTCACTGCCATTCGTAGCACACAAGGTTCGACGAGAAGCGTGTGTTCCACGTAGGAACGTCTAACTTCATCTAATAATACCGCCAAAGTATCTACCTCCAAATTCGACTGCTCGTTCTGTTCTTGAATTAGACGAATATACCATGTAAATCCAGTTCGCTGTGTCTGCTTTTTTTTACATAGGGCAAAGCAATCCAAAGACACCGCTGCAGCCAAGAGAAGCTACTGGCATCCGGATGTGGCCAGCGAGGTTCCCAAGATACTCGTCGGCGAGCACGAGTTTGCGTACTGCGGGGAGCCGGAGGATGCTGTGGAAGCCAGCTCTCAGGCTAGCGAAAAGAAAGTGGTCGTGTACGGCGAAGCGATGGTGGGTGAGGTAATCCTGCTGCCGCTTCCGTTCCACAACAATAGCAACACACGAGTGGATTTTGAACTGTTGGTAAGTAACAGTAGTTTTGTGCTGGAGATTTCGGTTTTCATTCCATGAACACAATTTTGGCATTTCCTTCCCTATGTTAGAAAGTGGCTCGAGGTGATCACATTTAGATGTTTTCAATCTATCTGACTAGCGAGGATTTCACCCGTACTGTCACAGCCCAACAAATCCTAAGCAACATGCATGATGAATGATGAAGGACGATACTTGTACCGTTCATCATGCAAAATGATACTTCAAGTATTATTATTTTGGGCGTGTTCTGATGGGCGTCTGGTGCTTCTCACGTGCCCAGAATGGCATTGCACAACTAGAGCTGTCGCAGATCTGCACGCATACCAAACGCAGCAGAAGCAGCAGAGTCAATAGTATGCCAACGGAACTAGTGTAACCAAGTACGACACTCCACTGTGCGAAGAGTGTTCAACGCCCTATAGGCAGAGGTTGGCTAATGATCGTGATTTAATGTGAAACTCGGAATGGAAACACAGCTTCCCTTTGTTCTGCTCCGTGCCAATAGAACTGTTTCGGTGTTTTAATACTTACACCGAAATACCTGCTACTTGTTACTTTTTAACTGTTTGTGTGCCTCAGGAGCGGGAGGAGAACAATTCTCTTGGTACGCACTATGCACAGAACCAGGACATTTACATCATATTCTGCCAACAGTGCCAGAGTAAGTGCATTGTTTGTTACTATCCCTTACATTGGCAAAGGGCATTTTCAAGGTTTAGGGCATCACTGCCACACAACACCTGTAGCCGTCATATCCCAGCTTGGGTATGCCCATATGTGCAATACCCATGTTTAAAGAGATTGGTATACTGTAAGTAATGTTAACGAACATTTAATTCTAGCGAGTTAACAAATTTGAAAGAAACGTTAAGATTTGAAGTCGTTATGTGCCAAAAGATATGTACATGTACAGTCATTTGCCGGTTTTGAGACGGAATTCGTTAGAATTTCACCTCGCTAACCCACAAAAATCCGGAGATCGTTAACTTTAATTGATGTTAAAATATCTGGTCTTACAGTATTACAAGCAATTTTATGCTTCTTTTGCTCCCGAAATCGGTTTCACAATGTCGCAATTTGTGTTGAGAAGTACAAACTACTATGCTTTCAGGCTTGATGTCATTCTCTTCATAACTCTTGATAACCGTCCATAAAGGAGTAAACAGCACTGTTCCCGGATTGAGCAAGGTCTATACAAAACGTGACTTGTCTCTGAAAGAGCTGTCATACATGTATGTCGCCTTCTTTGTTCTTTGTAGTCTTGGCTACCGTGCACCAAGATCCAGTCAGTAGTCACATTGCCATTGTTAATGCTGCGATCATAAATATCCTCTGGATAGTTGTGTAGCATGGCTACTTTATGACACGTAATTTGTATACACATAAATAGTACACCGTAGGAATGCATGGATAGGCTGTGCGCATACTCGCACTGCCTTGTCTTCTTCTTCTCCTTGTGAGACAATAGAGAGGTTTTGCATTCCGAATTTCGGAATGATTTTCGACTGTGCTTTTCCGAAAAAAGCGCGTTCCGAAAAACGGTATTTTCAGTGTTTTGCATTCCGAAAATCTGATTCGACTTCGTTTCCAAGGGTTGCCATGCAAAACAAAATGGAGAGCGTCGAAGGGGTTGAGCAGGATCAAATCCAAGGGCGCAGGTCAAACTGAATTTGGGTGCGGTTCGAAGACGAGGACGGACTGATGCTGGACCAAGTGATCCAACAGCTGAAGACGAGGTTGGTGAACTACTGTCTTGTACTGTCAGTAGGCTCCATGGCAAAGGAAGATAGAGTGTGATGGAGTGTGAGAAGATTAGTCAACATGGCGAGATCAGCGAGAACAGCAAAGACCAGCAAAAATCAAAACTACATACAGTGGTGGTCAAAAGTGTTGACCCACCATGCAGATTTTTCGAATTCTGAAGGTTTGGGCTCTAAGGGGTCGTCCGTATTTTTCGAAAAATTAAAAAATCCGTCCTCAGGCAGAAAGGGGGTGGGTGGTCAAGAGCGCTGGCGGAATTTAATTTTTTGATTTTTCGTACCTTTTTTTTTTTTTTTTTTTTTCTTCAGTGACTTTCATACACTTGTTGCACTGACATGTAGTGCACTGTAGACGTCGTGTAGGATCGCAAACACCAATATAATTATACCGGTACATGACTCATCATACAATTGTTAGATCACCTTGTTTCATGCTGTCAATCTAACAATTGCGTGAACTATAACAAGGTTTATCTAATACTGGTTTTTAACCAGTGTTGGGTTATAACATGACTCTTCATGTAGTTGTAGGACGTGCATGGCCGTCGGTAGACCTCCTACTCACTTTACTTAGCTACTAGTACTTGACATTCATGTACATGTAGGTGCAATCAGTGAACATGGGGTCAGGAGTTCTTATTTTCGAGCTGGGCATCGGTAAAAATCAAAAAATTAATGGGAAAAAATGGGGGGTGGGTGGGTGGGTCAGAGACAATTTTACCCGAGGACGGATTTTTTAATTTTTCGATAATTACGGACGACCCCTAAGCTACTAAATTTTTGGTCGAGGACCTCTGAATCAGGCTGAATAGTGAAGTAGAAATGAAAAATGCTGAAACACGGAGTCATCTGGGGACTACTGTGGTCAAGTATATGTAAAAGGTGGGTCAAAACTTATGGCCAACGCCCGCACAATCATAAACCGCCAACAGGATACACGGAATAGTGTGATTTCTAAAAAGTATTCAACTAAGCTAAAGTCTAGAAGTCAGTCCCGGCCTATTCCAGATACATCCACCACTTTGTAACCCCTCCCTTGGCCTTGATGATCGCTTGCATACACTGCCGCATTGAATCGACGATCTTCTTGCGCTCGTGAGGAGAAATCAACTTCTATGCCTCCCGGCACACTCGCCACAGCTCATACTGGTTTCTGGGGGTGATTTCGACATCATGCTGCTTCAGCCCAGCAATTTTGCAGAGATTCTCAGTTGGATTGAGGTCAGGTGGCTGCAGGGGCCATGTCAGGACGGTGATGCCGTTCACCGTCCGCCGCGCCTCCGTTCTGTTTGCGGAGCATTTGCGGCCATAAGACACCACCCACACCACCCACAAGCTGCATCATGCTCAGCAACATCATGTTTTCGGATGATGCGAGGTACTGGTCCACATTCATCGTATCCATCACCCGGCAAATGCGCGCTACGCCGTTGCTGGCCATGGCTCCCATACATTGATATTGCCGTTGCGGCACTTCACAGTTTTGCGGGTGCATGTGCCAGCCAGAGCCTATCCTGTCCACCTCCTGACGTAAACTGCATCACTGACTCTGGGCCAGAGCCCTTGAGGTTGATTTTAGACTCATCAGTCCACAGAAATTACCACCAGTCATCACTGCTCCAGTCCTTATGCGTCTATACAAATTTAAGGCGTTTTGCCTTATTCACAGCACTGATGAAGGGCCATTTGATGGCCATACAGCCACGTAGGCCTGCTCTCTGGAACTTGCGTCTCTCAGAACGCACAGAAATCGCGTTATCACCGTCGCTCACCATCTCAGCTCGCAGGCAGTGACGGATTTGAGGCGATTCGCCATTGACTTCATGATATGGTGGCGATCTTGTCTTGCACTGGTCTCTCTTGGTCGGTCTGATCGTGGTGAAATGTAGTCAATTTTTGTTTCCTGACAATTCTACGTATCGTAGGATTACTCAAATCCAACAGAGGAGCGATACCACGCCAAAAGAGACCGTCAACACTCAGCTTCACGACCATTTCCCTCACATCCTTGCTAATCTGACCTCGGTTCACTATCCTGGCTGAAAATACCATCTCCGTCGTCAAAATAATCAAGTTTGATATCGCAAACTCTCAAAGTGAGAAGTCAAGTGTTTATTTTCAACTTTCCCGGCACGTGCATCAGCCTGACAATTTTTTTGAAACCGTACGGTATACCAATGGTATACATGGTATAGGCTAGAGCAAAATTTGGTCACGTGGCCATAAGTTTTGACCCACCCAAATCAACTTCAAAATGTATGGTGATCCATCACAAATCTCAGTTGACAACGGATTCTTGCAAATTTTAGTGTCCTTGCCAAGTTTCAATCGGCTTTGGCCTCAAAGAAGTCAAAAACGGCGTGTTTAGGAGCCAGGCTGAGCTGTACTGAAGATTCCATGGGGTGGGTCAAAACTTTTGGCCACCACTGCACTGTACGTGGAAAAAATTTCAAATAATCGAGGGCAGCAGAAAGCAAAAATACAAACATGAAAAATACACTTTTTTGTATTCAAATATGCACTCCCAAACATGAAAGAGCCGAAAATCCATTTTCGGAAAACCATGCACTTTCGCCACCACACTTCCGAAAGTTCGACTACTTTTTCGACTGCTGCCGCCACATTCCGAAAATAATTCCGAAATTCGGAATGCAAAACCTCTCTATTGAACGAATATTGATAACTACTTACGTAACAACAAGTATGTGCTTTGAGTGCTGAGAGTATACGAGTTACAATGGTGGCAGCGGTGGGATTCGAACCCACGCCTCCGGAGAGACTGGAGGGACTTCTAAAAAAACCCGCTTTGCGATCTGAGTTGCTTTGTGTTCATCTGGGCTTGATCGCCTATTGTTTCTGTATCTGGATCAGGGGCGTCTGAAGGTATTTTAGTGTGGTACGGTCGGCCATCTGAAGTACAATTTACTCGTAGGGGATTAGTGGCTGAGCCGGATTTTTTTGAAATTTAGAGCTTAGCGTATTTTATTGATTCATGGGTATCTGGAGCAAAAAGTGGTACGGTCAATACCGTAGTGACCGCACCGTGTCCGACGCCAATGTGGATAGCACAGTTGGTTGAACAATAGGGATGGGATAATCAGTGGGCACAAGCCACTAGTCTTTTCACATGAGTGTGACATACTGATTGTTCCGTCTATAAATATGCATAGTGTTGTGCCTGCATTCACGTACTCTTTCTATTTTGCATGTGGGTATGTGTGTGTATGCACGTATGTGTGTGTGTGTGTGTGTGTGTGTGTGTGTGTGTGTGTGTGTGTGTGTGTGTGTGTGTGTGTGTGTGTGCTGTCACGTTTGTGCATTTGTGTGTGCACCCGTCTGCACGTAGGAACTACCGTTCAAGGCGATCTTGGCGACATCCTGTTTGGCTTCTGCGCGGGCAGGCCTGGCCTGTTTCGGCAGACGTTCCACATGCACTTCACGCCGCGCCTGGAAGGCGGCAGACACGTCGTCGTGGAAGTCTACGGGCACGCTCTGGAGCCGCAGGCGTCGGCCTTGGCCAAGCTGGCACTGCCGCAGCTACCCAGTGAAACTATGCCATTGGTGGGTCACGTGGTACAGCGTATGTGAATGGGTGATACAGTGTGTGTGCCCCTCTTTGGGGGAGACTAGCGTGACTAGTCATGGCAGTGAGCAAGTACAAGTATGTGTACAGTGAAAACATGCCATTGGTGGGTTATTGTTGTTGTTGTTTGTTTATTTATGGATTCTTCAGAGGTAAATGGATACCTATCATGGGAGTCTCACCAAACCAATAAAAAAATGAGAATAAAATTATGTATGGAGTGCAAAAAACTCAAAATCTGAGTTTTTTTAGTCAAAGGAGAGGAAGAACAATATATGGAGAACCAGGGCTGCTAATAGAACACTGGAAAGGCACTAAACACAAAATAACTTATACAGTTTACGTGTATGCTGGATGCTTTGGACGGACAGTCAGAGGCAGCAATACCTGTTCATTCTGGCGAAGTAAAATAATATAATTATACCAACCAACGTACCTACCAACAAGCAAAAGTCTAGCTCTAATAAAACCTTCGGAAGGTTTCTGGGCTACTGGATCCAGCTGTCTTGATTCGAATAGGCTATGATGCATTCCTCCCCAATCAAACAGGCTCTGAAATCAACCATTTTGCACATTATATGCATGGCTATACGGCTTGTCCCTGTATTCTCATGAATGGAATGTGATGCGCTGCGCAATGTGGGAGTTTGGTTGGACGTAGCTGATGAACAATGAAAAATAGCCTCCTCTGTCAAAGACCATGAGACTCATTGCCTCGAACATTTGGGACGTAGAGTTATTTTCAGTCTCGGTGCATTTCCCCTCTCTCAAGCCACCACGGAGTGGGTTGGAAATGGAGTGTTGCCTTTTCCACGGGTACTAAGGTGCATCGATTACCGATAGCTCTACCCAGCTATGAGTGAACAAGTCGTGCATTTTATAGGATTATTATACTCATACTCTCGACAAGCTCAGACTCAGAAATCTCACAGTTAAAGGTGGTAATTTCTCATGAAAGCGTATGGGATGAGAACTAAGCGTGGTAAGTTGTCCATTGACACGGAGGAGAAGAAAACCAGGAGAGTGTGAAGATGCACACAGATTACGAAACCGGTGTACCATGTATGTGGATTTTTTTTTATTTTATTTATTTATTTCACCATCCCGTGGCCAGGGAATATAGGCCAATATGGAGGGAGGTATACGTATAACGCGTGCTCCAGCACCTGTACTACATAACGGCAAAACCATGCCACAGTTTGATATAGAAGTGTAACCAACTTTGTTTTTGCTCTATTGCAGGCGCCGGCTACAGCCAGTGGACGAGCACCCGAGTACAAGCTCATCCGTCGGGCCAGGCACCAGTTTGAACGCGAGGACGAGCTGGACAGGCAGGCACTGCAGATGGCCGGCGTTCCGTACCAGCTCTCAGAGGCAAGTAGAAACACTATGCTTATGCTTGGCATGCATGCCGACTTCGGCGATCGGCTGAGGACGCGGCGAAAGAAAAGTCGAGCGCCCCAGAGCAGCCAGCGCAGGCGGCGCAATGTACTGGGCAGGCTGCAGGAAATTGCGCGTGAGAATCTAGAGCGATGCCGACCCATAATGCCCCCAGAGCCCGACCTGAAGAAGCCACGAATATCTCTGATGGAGCGTAAAAAGGCACAGCTTGGTGTGGCATGTGTCACACCTGCTGTATCATCAGCATCTTCCGCTGCCAACACACCCGAGGCAAAGGTTGAGCAGAACATTACATTCCCGGTGGTCGAACAGTACCGGCCGCCAAAGAATATCCTCCATAACATCATCGATCTCCAGGACAAACTTGGCGGCCACACCATGGGAACTTTTGCACCGGCAGTCACCTCCCTTTCACAGCGGAGAGCATCGGGCATTCAACGGCCGCGTCTGAACGCCCTCGGAGAACCCGATCCCAACTTTAAAATGCCGCTTGGGTCACGCAAGTCACTTCCGCACCTACATGTAGACACACCGTCGCTCATGCAGCAGCAGCAGCAGCAGCAGCAGCAGCAGCTCCAGGCTGGTAAAGAGGTCCAGACAGGCCGCGGGAAGTCTCGCCTCGGCAGGACGACGTCGCTGGAAGACGTGAAACAGCCGGCTGTTGTGGCCGGTCCACAGTCGCACTTGTTTGCACCTACCGACGAGGTGTTCACCCTGCAAGGCGATAACCTCAAGGGCTTGCTGCAGTATTTGAAGAAGGAGTGTGAGTGGAACCGAACGCCCGGTTACCACAGAGTGAGTTTGAACGACGTTGAGTTGCGTTCCGAGATCAATACCCCGCACTCAGTTTGCAGGGAGCACACGCACTCACCCCATCCGCATAGCCCAGTAGAATGCAATGTACTGGCTTAGGGAGATACGTGAACCATCGTTCACTGCAGTGTGTTGTCAAAAAATAGTCACGGTTCGCATGAGACTCGGTTAGGCAGAGTTTTCCGCATCCACAGAAACGCAACCACCTTTTAGGATCAAGCCGCAGTTACACCGGTAAAGCGGTGAGAGCTGAGTCGATGAGACCCACCACCGAGTGGTCACAAAGACCGAAAATCCAAAGTTTTCGAGCAGATCCGTAAATCTGAGTACCGGTATAAAACTATAAATTATATCAAGACGCATGCTCCTGGCTTATGTAGGCGCAACACCTATCGAGAAATCCTGCAGCTAGTGGTTGCCATGATCATAAGTCCTTGCATTCAGGTGTACTGGTTTTAGCAGTACCGCTGCACTCTGTACTGCGTCAGTCTCTCCACACTAAGATTCTTCTTTCCACCCTCTGCAGTCCGTCTTCTCCTACGAAGGGACTATCCCTCCTCAGATCTCGTGTCCAAGCACTATGCGTACAATACTACTTTCCACCCATTGTTTTGTCCCGAAATTCTCCACTTCTGGAAATGCTCAAGACGAAAATGTAATGTTGAGTTCCCTAAATATAGTTAGAGGTGAGCTGTAAATCTCACTGAAACTGAGGTTTAATAAAAGTTTTTTCTCGAAAAACAAGGCGTATTGTAAATTTAAAGATTGTCTTTTTATTAAGTTGGTGATGTGTATGAACGGTTGACTCCCGCCCCTTTCTTTCTTGATCATTGGCCTCGTTGCACTAAGCTCGACGTCAGAGTTCGCAGTCCTGACTCGGCGAACAACAGCCCCACCAAGCAGGGCAAGAGGCAGCTCCGGCGACCCGGCAAGGGAAGCCGGCAAACATCGCCCGACACCAGCCACACATACGCCGACGCAGTGGACACGTATCGCATGCAGCAGTACCGCGTCATTCAAGGCGAGTACATCAAATCGCGTCGCCGCCAACAAACCTATCGCCAGCACCCACCCGATCGTGTGGACGACCCGACGGACAGGGCATCTCTGCGAAAGGATGATGTGCCCTTCCAGATTCTTGCCAAGACGAAGGTTGCACGTCAGATTTTTGGTGATTCACAAGGAAATGACGATATGGCTCTCCAGTCTGGCGTGAGAGTTGTGTTGAGTTGGGTTGAGTTGTGTGAATATGCTTCAGCCACACACTACCATACACAACTCTATCGATCTACCATACTATCTGAGTTAGTGTAAGTTAGTGTACTATGAGTCAACAAATATTCGGCGCATATCTATTTTAGGCTATTTTAGGCCTGGTTATGTTTGGCCGGAATTTTTTTGCGGCCGAAAATTAGTTTTGCAAGCTTCAGTGTGACAGTGTATACAGGCGGCAGCAGTAGAGCCCGAGAATGTGATGCGGCCGAAATGGGGTTTAGCTCTGGGAGGCCGAAATTTGAATGGGCCGAAAATTCGTCGACTTACAGTAGTCTAGATAACAAGAATCGTGATTTTAAGCAGCAAGGTCTTGCTCATCCACATGTCTACACGTACGTATCAGTGGGTGCGTGTCCATCCCTCTATGGTCTGATTTATCTGCATCATCTTGTGTAAATGAAGACCTGTGATAGTCCACCTAGATTGGTCTAGGCGACGAAAGTGCAACAATCGCTCTACTGTCGTGACAGTGTTACCTAGATGCAAGATGTCTTCTTCAGACTAGAGAACGGTGCATGTCTAGATTTATAGGGGACAGTGATTTCAATCTATGCAATTAGGCTAGCCTGTAGTGGAATCTCAATTGGGGAAGAGGGGAAGGGGGGGGGGGTCTCAGGTCGGTTGTAACACGAGATGTCATGCCAGCTCATGGGCATAGCCTGGACTGCATTTGGAAGTGGTTCACAACTCCAGATACAGTACTGCATGCCTGGTGACAGCCTACGGTGCTAAACACTGCCATTCAGCCAAAGACAACGGTAGAATTGAGACTTGAGAGCACAGCTTTCCTGGCCAGGCCACACATCAGCTAGGCTACTCTGCTTCTTATGATTAAAATTTTAAAATTATTGCAATACGCCTTGTCCTCAGGACACTGAGCTCTCCAGAACACCGACAAATGTTCTAGGTACACAAGTGATACGAAAAGAATCTCAATGGAGCCAGTATCTCTTACAACAATAGTTTTAGCATGTGTGCACCAACTATAAGCCCATATACATTACACAAATGTCGCTTTCTCCCTTATGCAGGATGAAATACAGCGTGCAGGTGACCTGGATTTCATCACCGACATCGTTGACGACTTGGTGGCATGTGTCGTAGACCGCCCGGAATCACAGCCGCTGGTTCGAAGACAAGAGGTAAAAGAAAATACGAAGTGGATATGCACTACATGCAAAACTCTGGGGTGGGAGCTGCAACAGCGGAAACACTTTAATGACCAGTTGTGTTCATATTGTGTTCAATGGTATGTCTAGCATGAAAATGTACTTCCAGTCGCGAGTAATTACAAAGGGCTGCACCATCAAGCAAAAGAAGAACCTTTTAAAAATAGGTGGTCCGGTATATATGCTAGTGAATGCTTTGGATAGCATGGTGTGGTGTGGTGTAGTGCGGTGTGGTGTGGTGCGGTATGTTGTGTGTGTGTGGTGTGGTCTGGTCTGGTGTGGTCTGGTCTGGTCTGGTCTGGTGTGGTCTGTTCTGATGTGGTCTGGTCTGGTCTGGTCTGGTCTGGTGTGGTCTGGTCTGCTCTGGTGTTGTGTGGTCTGATCTGGTGTGGTGTGGTGTAGTGTGGTGTGGTGTGGTGTGGTCTGGTGTGGTCTGATGTGGTCTGGTCTGATGTGGTCTGGTGTGGTGTGGTGTGGTCTGGTGTGGTGTGGTCTGGTGTGGTCTGGTGTTGTGTGGTCTGTTCTGGTGTGGTCTGGTGTGGTGTGGTCTGGTCTAGTCTGGTCTGGTCTGGTCTGGTCTGGTCTGGTCTGGTGTGGTGTGGTGTGGTGTGGTCTGGTCTGGTGTGGTCTGTTCTGGTGTGGTGTGGTGTGGTGTGGTTTGGTGTGGTGTGGTGTGGTGCGGTGTGGTCTGATCTGGTGTGATCTGGTGTGGTGTGGTGTGGTGCAGTATGTTGTGTGTGTGTGTGTGGGGTGGGTGTGTGTGTGTGTGTGTGTGTGTGTGTGTGTGTGTGTGTGTGTGTGTGTGTGTGTGTGTGTGTGTGTGTGTGTGTGTGTGTGTGTAGTATGCTGTGGTGTGTTGTAGTATGGCGCGGTACGGTATTTTCGTTAACTTAATCAAGTCAAAAGGAATTCAGGTGGACACACCCATATGGGAATGGGTGTGCCCACAGATGAAGCTGCACGTAGCCTCAGCCCTTCTTCAGACTTTATCAAGTCAACATGCATTTATGCTTTCTAATCAGGCCAATGGCCTGCCTCCTACAAGTGAATGATCATGTTAATAATATAATGTGTAAATGTGTGCTTACTATTGCTGCCGTTGCTGCAGGAGGAAGACATCTTGTTTGAAGTCAACCCGGTTAGTGGACAGAAACTGCAATTAATGGACCCAGTTGAAGATTAAAAAAATGTTTATGCTTATCGAATACCTGCTTTTATCTGAGAAAACTGATGTGTATAGGCTGCTGCCATCTGAGATATTTTCTTTTGACGGAAGTCACAGAACTGGTCTACAGCATGCATGATGCAGGATTTCTTGAATTGTTGGTGTTGAGTATTATCCTGGTGAGCAGATCCAGTGCTTGCTGTCCGAATATGAAACCAAGAGAAATGTCCACAAGCCAGAAAGAGGGAAAGTTTCCCAAATGTGGAAGAACATGTTTGCACAGTATGGCCGGTAGTACACTCATCACCTATGACGTCATCTGCATAACCTATTTACCCTTTGCGGAGAATGCTGCCGCTCTAAGAGAGCCTGGTTCTTAGCTTGGTATGACAGGAGCACATGCTAGCAACAACCACACCGTTAGCAGCTAGGAGGCCTGCATGCGTGCCGGGCTGAACTTATCTTTCTTCCCCGTTTTCCAGAGCCTGCAGCTCGTGCACATGAACCTGGTGCCCACGCTGGAGACGATGCATGCGCTGGCGACCAACGCACCGGAGGACGAAGAGGCTCTGGCAGAGGCAGGCCTTGCCACACCTAAGCCTGCCGAGGGCAAGGCTGGCGTGAAGTCTGCCAAAAGTGAGTACCAGGGGCGGATCGAGGAGGGGTTCCAGGGATTCCGCGGAACCCCCTAAATTTCGTAAATGTACTACTGGCAACCATATGCGTGTCCATGACCATGTATCAGCTATTCAGTTTTGACTATACTGTACCCCCCCCCCCCCTGTAGAGATTGCTGGATCCGCCGCTGACTGGGGTAGGATATTCGGCAACTATCTGTTGTGCTGTATCATGATAATAGTACACCTGTAGTACTCTACCATGTTTCCTGGTGGATAATTGACTTACTTGACTTGTTAGGATTCTAGACACTTTTCTCTGTTGGCTTGCGTGATCTGCACTGTTACCCTCTGGACACAGTATAGCCAGTATTTATAGACGTGGTCCCTACTGGGTTAGTTTAGGGAAATGCGTACGAAAAGAGCTGCCTGATACAAGTGGTTGAAAAAGTTGGCAGTCGCCATGACTCAGGACTGGCTGAGACATATCATTTCTCACCCCTGTATACTTTACTTAGCGGACATGATTGAGACTTGGCGCAAAGCCTTCCTTGTCCTTTACCCTGTGTTTGTTGTGTAATATCTAGCCGGTAAGGGCAAAGACAAGGACAAAGACAAGAAGGGTGGAAAGGGAGCAAAGGCAGCGGAGCCACCACCAGCTGACAAGCCTGTCGAGCTGCAGATGGACATCAATCCGAACGCCGTCTGGGACTATAGAATTCCCACACTGCATGAGGTAGGATAGTTGGGGAAATGGCTCTCTTTTATTAAGCTCAAGCATTCCCTCAGCAGCATTTTTGTATCCATATTTGTATGTGTGTGCATGTGTGTGTGTGTGTGTGTGTGTGTGTGTGTGTGTGTGTGTGTTTGTGTGTGTGTGTGTATGTGTATGTGTGCATGCGTGCACATACGTAGCTGCATGTTTGTGTTGATGTCGATTACGTATCACCTTTCTTGCAGACGGAACGTCTACTTGTCCTGTCCTGTTCTGTACAAAACGACAGTCTTATCAACAATGAACGCCCCCAAAATTTCCCGTTTGCTTGTTCTGTCCTGATCTCTGCATTAGCTCATACTAAAGCCTGTACAGCCAGCACAAGAAGACAAGCGTAAGAGGTGTGCAGAGCTCTACGAGAAGGTCAGTGTGTCAACAAACGACCCTCACTTGGAGAATGACAGCGGCACAATCAGAGAAGACCTCCTTGACGTCCATCAGCGAACTACATCGTTCATGTGAGTGTGACGCGTTTATTCTTGCACTTATTTGCTCACACACATGCACACAAAAGCACCAACACACACAAATGCACGTACGCACGCGCGCGCGCGCACACACACAGTCACACACACACACACACACACACACACACACACACACACACACACACACACACACATGCAGGCACATCCAGTCACTCTACATAATATCAGTGGGCAGTGAGCTATAATTTGAAGTGTCTGTCTCCATTGCACTCCAAGCCCGATTCATGGATACACCCCAAAAAGGCTGGTTATCTTCAGTGCAGTGCAGTGTAGGTCAAGCATGTTGGTAATACAGTAAAACCTGTAACTAATGACCGCCGTGACTAGCGACCAGCCTGGCACTACAGATCACGTAGCCAGGCACGGTCGGTCTCACATTCATATATGGTTGTGCCGTGCGAACCTCTAACAAAGGAACACCTGCCACTAAAGACCGCGGTCCGGCTCTGGCCCCAAGGGGTGGTTTTTAGTCACAGGTGTTACTGTTCATACCCTGGAGTTGTTCTGTGTACGTGTTCTCTGTGGCCTGGTCACAGGCGACTGCTGCTCGAGGGTCTGGTTGATACGGTGGCGGACACCTGCACTACACTACGCCATCAGATGAATCTACCGCTCGGCGATATGGGAGACGATGCTGCACAGGCCAAGGATATGACATCTCCGGAGAAAGGCGCTGGTCCTGACAAAGGTATGGCTGTTGAAAAGGATACCAACGAGAATTTAGCGTAGCAAGCAATTAGCGTAGCAAGCAATTTTATTCTATGCACATACAAGAAGATTGCACTGCCCACTAAGGAACAGTAGTCTACCGGGGCTTTGGAGGGTGGAGTTAGAAAAAAATGTGCATGCTTTTCAGGAATTACAACACCTTGTTTCAGTCAAAAGAGACCACCAATCTTTGGAGACTATCTGTATTTAGACTCCTTAGAGACCACCTGTAGAGATCAGGGAATTTTCTAGAACCGCCCCAACCGGTTTTCGACCGGTTGAAATTGTTGGCGACCGGTTGAAAAGTTACAAATCAGTTCCAACCGCCCGTACTTTTCTGTGGGTGAATGGAGCTGCTTATATCTTTTCTACACTCCAGCACCAAGAAATCTGTTAAATTGCTGTCGAGTGCCATATTTGGGTTGTATTTTGAAAAAGATTTCCGGGGGGACCCCCCCCCCCCCCCACCCCCGACTCTTCATTGGACCGTAACCGGTTGGAAATTCGTCCTAGAATATACCCTGTGAGATCATCTGCATTTACAGACCACCAATGTGCAACGGCCGGTTTACTGTGGACAATGCGCTGGCCGAATGGGATACATTTAACCCTTTAAGAGCCGCCCCATACTTGAATGCGTCGTAAACGACGCATTCAAATGCAAAACTTCAAAAGATCGTAACTCAGTCCAATCTCGCTCAAATCCAGTGATCGAAATATCCAGGGCGAAGAGAAAACTCTCACCTGTCAGGAGAAACAATTCGCGAAGCGCTGCGAGCAACGGTTCCTGAGATAAATCACTCGTAAGTTGAGCCGCGATCGTGGCAATTTCAAAAGCGCGCAGTGCGACTTTAGTATTGAGAATTTTGAGACTTTTCGTCACGCTGGTTTACTCGAATTTGCACGGGTTTCACTGTTGATATTGTCAAGAGTACACAGCGAAAAAATTGGAACTCCACGATCGAGCAAAATGAAATATCTGGAGCGGGACGCAATTGGACGCATTTGGGGCATTTTTCGTACTGTCGCTGCGATCTAGCGCTGGATAGACGGTGTGCTGGCTATCATGATCGACCTCATTCTCTTCCTCTCGCAGAGACCTTTCCAGGAAGCCCTGGATTGTGAGGATTGAGTGAGTAGAACTGAAGCTATGATCCAAGGAACACGAAAAAATGCAGAATTTTGAAATTTTCCTGTGGCTCTTAAAGGGTTAACTTGAACAATTTGACTTTAACAACGACTTGAACAATGCTGAACCATTTAAAGGTACATGACCGCAACTTAATTCGATATCTGCTCTCTCCTTGGTATATCAATGACGCTGGCAGTTCACTGACATCCTTGTTGCTATGTGGTACTTATCCTGCAACTCAGGCAAGGGAAAGGGTGGCCAGAAGAAGCCCGAACCGAAGCGTAAGGAGTCCAAACTGGCAAAGGATACGAAGGACGCTAAGAAGAAGGTAGGCACGGCGGCTGTGTTGTCGTCCCGTCGTGTTGTCTAGTCATTTTAGTTAAGATTACCAATCCTGGTTCTGTGGATGTCATATTTCCGGAGTATGAGCCGCACCCTGACTTTGTCACGGAATACAGACATCTACCCTGTACAGTAAATATCGGATATAACGTGCCCCTTTGATTTTCGAAAATTTATCACTATATCCGGTGCATCACTATAGCCGATTTGCATGTTTGACCGACACATGGCACATGACTGCACATGAAATGATGCGTACACGCTGGAAAAAGCATGCTGAAAGTGCATGCATGCTCCGCGGACTCGTACCGGTGCATGACACAGAGCAGTGCATGCATGGCAGTGCAGTACGAGTAGTCGAGTACAGACTGTACATGTACTAGAACTTCGATACATCATGTGGCATGGCTGCTTCTTCAGCGTGTTCTCCAAAAAAAAAGCCTGAGCTGGATCCGTACGAGTACTCACGTAGATCTAGTAGATCTACTATACTCGGTGTCCAACGAGTTGCGTAGAGCCAGAAATAGACATGATATGAGTGGCTGTGTACGTGAGTTGGCAACATCATGGTGAGAGGCAACACAGCCAGAAACGGACAAGAGCATGCAGAAAGATACAGAAAAGGACAAGACCATACAAAGGGAGCGAGGGGTAGCGCAGCCAGAAAAGGACATGTGCATACAGAAACGGACAAGAGCATACAAAGGGAGCACATTGCAAGGGGTAGCACAGCCAGAAACGGACATGTGTGATCATCACTCTTGATCATTATATGCGATATTTTCCTGTACATTTGATATGGTTTGCTTCCTGAAGTCCATCACAATAAGCGATATATCGGTATAGCCGATAATAGTGTATATAGTGATATTTTAGCTGTATTTTTTCTGATTTGATTTTGATTTTGACGTGTTCTATCACTATAACCGGTATATCATTATATCCGGTCACTTTATAAACGATACTTACTGTATTTCACTTTTCATTGCTGCCACCATGTTGTGTTCGCCTGGAGCCACGCAGGAGTCCATTGTGGGACAAGACAAAGACATTAATTTACAACGAGCTTGCATAATAATAGATGAGAGAGAGACAATACGGAGAGGGACAATATGGCGACAAACACTGTACACAACACACTGAACATGCTAGTATAAGCCGCATTTCATAACGAGGACGGGGTTTTGTGAATTATAGTACTGCCGGGGGCAGAAGAACGGAGAGCCGAAGAGCGAGCAGGCTAGGATTTCACCAAGCGTAGTATACCAATGTATACGTGGGGACTCAACTGTTCATAGACTGTAGTGCTTGTACATGAAAATAAGAGCGGTCTAGACTCAGAGAAGGCTGTCCCCCTCCCTCCCCCCTCCTCCCCCCCCCCCCCCCCCCCCCCGTTCTTCGGTACCCGACTGAACTGTATACCAGCAAAGCAAAGGCTAAGCCCTGTATATTGCTAATGCTGTTGCCATTAGCAAACCGTTGCAAGTCTGGTCTCCTTCCTCCTTGTGCTTGCAGGACGCTGGCAAAGGCAAAGGCAAAACAGACGGTGAGTACTGAACCTTATGCGATTTTCAATATTTCATGCGAGTGAAATGCAACAGTGTGCTGCAGACTTCACACTATGTTTAGCATGAGTGATTCATACGGTGGCAACGTCATGCAGCAGCTCGGTTGGTACACAAAATGCTGGACGCAGTCTCTAGATTGGATTCTTCAAGGGTCGGAAATTCCGAGTCCCAGAAAGTGCCTATAAGTAGTGAAGTGCCGTGACCGATAGTGAAGGCAAGAGTGTACTAACATAATTTCAGTGGTCTTTGGGAACGTAAGTGCATTACATGTTTTGTCCATTACATACTCATGTAACTGAAATGCTGCTGCTGCCATTTCCATGATTCTTCACATGGCATATGTGCTTGGTGTCAAGTGAATAGGATTTCCAGCAGCATAAAAAAATCACAATGTTGACTTTGTTTTGATGTCTGTTTTCTCATCTAGCGGCAGGCAAGCAGGATGGCGTTCAGAGTGACGGGGCTAAGGTATGCTTGTTGTGCTCAGTATGCCATTTTCTGTGTAGGAACTCACACCTTGATGGCATCCCCCCTTTTTCCCTTGTACTTTTTTTCTTTCCTTTCTTTTTTATTCTTTTTTTTTCCTTTCTCTTTTTCTTTTTGAGTCTGCAGTCTGTGTTTGCCTCTCTTTCGTGGAGGTTTGTTGTATCCTTGGCTTTTGGCCGTTACTTTATCGCCATCAAAATATTGGGCATCATTGCCCGTTTGGTCTGCGATACAAAATAAAATCTCAACAACAATAAGAACATCAATTGTTTGTACCATTTGGCTTATATTCTCTAGAATTTCATGTTGTTCATCAGTGATGCGATATTTTTCGAAAGGTGGAATAAGTGAAAGACATAGTATTCAATTGCCACGGTTGTGTTCTCCTATTTTGGATATGTTTCTTTCAGGATGCTGCCAATGAGGACAAGACTTTGGTGGACCCTGAAAAGCTGGCATGGTTCCGTGACCTGGCCTACCTTCAGGTACAGACAGTGCACTCAAATGTCTATAGTGTCGGGATATTTTCATCCCAAACAACTGTTGACACCCAGAGAACTGGCCATCTAGAACTACCTTGAAGGGGTATCTGTGTGTCTGTGAGTGTGTAGGTTTGTGTGTGTGTGGGGGGGGGGGGGGGGGTGCACACACTTCTGTTGGCTCGAAGATGTGATTGTGTGTGATTACCGTCGCGGATAAAAGCCGGGTTTGCATGCAAGCACATCGCGGATAGAAGCCTGAAAATCAAACGGGTCAAATGCATATAACTATAAGCCTGTCGCGCGTAGAAGCCTGGCTTCTATGCAAGCGCGGATCGGGCACTAGTAGGTCAAGAGTCGATGCGCTATGTACGGTGCATAGTAAAACTGCCGCCATACGCGTGTTGCGCGTAGAAGCCTGGCTTCTATGTGCATACAAGCCTGGCAAAAATATCAGTGGTGCATATAAGCATGGTTTGCATACAAGCCTGGTTTGCATTAAAGCCTGATGCAGAAAGCGGCTTATATGCTTATAAGCCCGGCTCTTATCCGCGACTATACGGTATGTGTGGGTGTGTACGTGCGTAGCCGTTCATGTCCGCAAAAGTAGCTGCTATGCAAAAAATGTTTGGACTTGAGTTTATTTACTCCAGTGTGGTGTAAAGGGCAAGCAGAGTTTTGGAAACATTCTATATTCGAAGACTAACCGGTCTCTACTGATACATTGGGTAGCATGCAGTGTGAAATTGAATTCATTGCAGTATGAAGCTGATTGTGCTCCGGTGGAGTGAACATTTTCAATTCCTGCAGCAAAGCATGAAAGAGAGTGGATGGTGACATCAGATTTGATTTTTTTGCTTTGATGTGTTGCGCCAGGTTCGAGACAAGATTTCAGAGATGCTGGATGGCGTATCGGCCGTCGAGGCAGAGATCGAACCGGAGCTGAAACTGCCGGACTTTGCGCCTATGCTAGATGCTGAGCTTGGGGTCATCGCGGAGCCTATCGATGTTGGGGACGTCTTCGGCTCCATCCACGATGAAGTGTGCTATATCAATCCGCTGAAGCCGAAGTCGAGCTCCGAAATGTTCAAGAAACTGCTGAATGCAGCCAAATTGGATCGTGTGGATATCGTCAAGGGCAAGGTCCAGGCATACGACAAGGCCAAGATCGATCCATCCAAGGAAGTAAGGTTTGAACCCTAGTCACCTCACGTTCTATACAGACGTACAGACGGTCTGCCCGACCAGAACAAATCATGCTTTCAGCAAGTGAAGTTCTTCCGCTAGAGAATTCGGTCCGTGGAAAACACTTTGCATGTATAGGTAGATCGAAATTTCAACACTTGACAAAAGAAGCCCATTTTTCCGGTGCCATTATTTCCGTGGATTCGCTGGACAATCCTTGCCGAATCTGACAGGATGATGGCAAGGCTATACCCTGTAGCTCTGTTAGCTCATGTTACTGCTCTCTGTTGGTCCAGTACGAGTGTGTGCGCACAAACAGCCAGCCACACGAGTGATTGAGTAGCTATCATTTAATGCGCTTGATATATGGGTTTTTGCGCAGCTCGTATTGATTTGAACATATCGTTTTGAACACATCTACGATATATTTTGAAAACCAGTGAATGTCTAGGACTGCTGCTAAGTTACTTCGTAATACTTGTATCAGTTTTGTTATAATAATTATACCAATAGACATTTATGTAGTCAAAGTCATTGCATGCCATGCCAGCTGCTCCTCACAGGATACTGGCCCTAGTAATTTCACATTGATTAATGTTATCATGCTGTTCTCATGGTCAGTGTATTTGATACAATGTATTGGAATTCTATCTCACGGCTCTTGGTCTGCATACCGCACCCTAGTGTGCTGAACCCCCCTCTGGGAACTCTAGCCAAGTATCTCTTGATCTTGTCTGGATAGTTGCACGGAGAACAGAGCACTACGAGATAATCAATTGATTTTCCTTGCAGCTAAGCTGGCTCAGAAGATACCCTAGCCCAGAAGCTCAGCTGTTCGTAGATACTTAGCAGCTGGACATCATCTGCACCTGGGGAATCATTACAAGTGAAGCAATTCAAGTATTATTTCCAAAGCATTACAACCGGGATTCGACTTATAACCAGGAACTATCAGTATCTTACAAAAACGACCTGCACTGCATGCACGAGTGCACCGTGTGTACACTTTTTGCAGTTTATTGGCCTTTTTCAAGGATTGGGACGTTATACCCTCCATTAGGGTATGTTTACATGATTATTTTGTTGTTGTGTTAGTAGAAGGTAGTGGTTAGTAGTGCTTCTTTGGGTGAAAACTTTGAAACGCAGAATTGAGACCTCCGGATACGGGGGTCGACCTATAACCGGGGTCGACTTACAACCGGTAAAATACGGTAACTGAGTACTAGTATCACTTGGTTCAGATATTTTACTTGGAGACTGTACTGGACGAGTACGTTTACATGGTATTGTACATACATATACATGTACATGTACAGTCCGCATCGCCTATAAGGTTGGCGGCTATAGTAATATACCGGATATAGTGATCAATTTCTCAAATTCATTTTCATTTGCCATAACTAAGTATACAAAGTTATCGCGTATAGTAATAATCGTCTATAGTAATATATCGCCTATAGTGATCAAATTCATATTTCAAAAGACGTTTTTTACACTATTTTTGCATCGGTTATAGTGATTGATGTGAAATCAAGCGATGTCAGAGGAGAACAGGGTGTTACTTCTTCGTGAAGAACTTGTCCAATGAGTGTTGTTTGGTGAGTTTTGCTTGTACAAGTTGCCAAAATATGCCTCCATCATGAGGAAATCCTGATTTTGTGTGTCCGGAGCTACAGCCAGCTACATGACATTGTACATGTATGTAGTGCGTATGTGCACGGCGCGCTGAGTCGTTTGACACCCCACTCGCATACATTGCATGCAGTATCGGTCATAGTAATATATCGCTTATAGTGATAAAATGCTCAAAATCAAACACCAACGCTATAGGCGATACTGACTGTATATGTATATGTATATGTACATATACATGTATATGTAGTAGGTCTACAATGGCTGAGCTTTGTACATAGCAAGTGTCGCCTGCTGTGAGCAGAGCAGATTGTCCGAAGCACATGATGCAGCATAATCACAGTAAATTGTAACTATACAGACTCTTAGAGTTGAGTGTTTTGTATTATTTCGTATTCAGTTTATGTGGATTTATGGATTCTCCAAAAATCAAGGGATGTTACTGTAGATGGGCCTTGGTATATTTTTGATCAACAGTACTGCCAGTAGGTCTACACTGAACAAAATATTTCATCAGACCACATTGTTGTGGCAGTGTGCAAAAATGTACTCGGATCGCAAGGAGGCTAGCGCAGGCCAGGTCTTAATTAAATTATTTTAGTACTATTGCACATGACATTTCTTGGGGATATTACGGGCACAAACTGATGTGTTTTGTGTTTCGACTGACAGCATGGGCGTTGGGCTACACACACGGCCTCAAGTGGAGTTGGTTTTTCGGACTACATCATTTACATGCATTTCTCTCTGGCACTCACAAAGATCCACCGCGTACCGGTTATGTAGGTACCGTAGCTAGACCGATAGGCGATATTCTTTCTGCGTTTGCCTTCCGAATAAGTACACCACTGTCAACAGGGACTTGCAAGCACTTGACGTTGCTCCAGCAGTGTGTTTCCGCATTACATCGGGGGCGCGAGCCTATGGAAACAATCTACACAGTCGAGTCATGGCCATGCAACAACACGGAACATCGATTTGACCGGCGTAGATCTGAGCTACAGCCAGTAGTCTACACAGCTCAGGTAGATCTACTGTCGTACTGACACAGTACTGTGAGGTGGTACGAAAGTCGAAAGGGCTCGACACCACTTTTGCTGCACAAATCCGCTGTGCTGTCGACTGTGCATGTGCGAGCACTGTAGCGGCAGTCTAGTCGGCGACAGACTCGACACACGGTGGACTGCAGGCGTATGCGGACATTGCAGAGCACTGCGCTGCATGCATGCACTGCATGGAGTCTGCACAAACTGTCAAACATGGGGGCAAGACAGGTAGCGGAGGGGGGAAACGTTGCTTGACGTTTGAGCTGCAGCTGCATTTCTGTGAGCTGTAAAATCGCCTGCTGCTAGTCCTGTTGCAGATTCCGCCTTTTGAGGCAACGACTAGTTCTGGCGTCGGGGTAGTGCTTGTGAGTTAGCGACAATGGCTCGTTATCCTGCGCTGCTACTTGCTGGGATATGCATGTGTGTCCTCGGTCAAGCTACTGCGAAATCCGGTGAGTGAATGTGCTGTGTACTGATCCGGAGAGTTCATAATAATTATTATCGTTACCGCCTCGATAGGCATCGCTTCTCCTCGCTCGCCAAAGAATATCGTGAACTAGTTATTTGAAATCCGTTATTCCTTACCCGTGCTTGGCGATCATGTCTCGCTGCCCTCCGCGCTAGCTCCGGCCTCAAGCCGTAGATCTACGGTGGATCACTCTGAATCATGGAGGGCAGTGCGCAAAATTTTGCTCCTGATTTTGAAATTCCGCTGTGAGTGGCTGGAGCAGTATTGTTTACACCCCTGCTGTAGCTCGGCGTGTGAGGGTGGTTTCTATTACATGTACCTGCCTTTCATTGCATTCATGGAGTACCAGGTTGAAATGTATATCTTTAAGCTTGGGAAGCTTGGCCACTGGGGTAGGGCACATGACACTTCTGTAAATCCCATTTCACTAATAGCACATGGACTGGGCACCTGCTTACCACATCGGCTTGAAAGCATAACCTGACATGGAGCATGCAGCGTACTCATAATCATTTTTCTCACTACAGTATGTCAATATCGTCAACTCCTTTCACCCACAGGTTTCACAAGAACCCAAGGGGCAGAGTCGAACTAGGCACTCTACTATTCTCATTCCTCAAATAAAACGGGGGTGCCCATAGGGCACCTTTTCTGCTTTCGAATGCCGGTATATACGTGCACCTCACTGGCTACACTTTGGGGACATTAACGACGAAAACTCTTCGACTCTGCTATTCTAAAGCTGCGCTCATTGGTGGTGCCTTCACACGGCACATTTGCAAGGGACTTTCCATACGCAGCACGCTCCAAAAGCCAGCAAAATATGCACAAACGCGTAGTTTCAGGCGTGCATGCACCAGTTATGAACACGGATGTGGTAAAGAGGAGGCCCCGGTTGCTTTCCACCGAACTTACATGTATCCATCACTTGCTGGCTTTCGGGTGTTACAGAAAGTGCAGTGCATATGCTTATTTAACTGCTGACGTTCTTGTGTTTTGGTCTCTCTGTGCTTGCATCTCGCTCTGCCGCACCGCGTGAATACATGGCATGACTGACGGATCACAGCTGCGGTATGTACCTCTTCGTGCGTTGCCACTTGCATTTCTTGATCTTGCTTTGAAACGTTCAGCTCTCATTCTCGTGCATGTGCCCGTGTCAAGCTCCATGCATTCAGCAGGCATCACCACTACTGGTTATTCAGCTTTACGCAAAGGGGCTGGGTAATCGACTAATCGTAATGCTTTCATATCGGTAGTGTGTCCCGTCTCGGCTTAGTGCTAAGTTTTGTGCAAGTTGGGTGGAAGAGCGCGATAATGTAATGTTCAATAAGGCTGTTGCAGATCGATGAGTTTCTTTGTTCAGCCTTTATCCTACTTTAAAAAGTAGCTACTGACGTTTTGTAGTCATATCAGAAAAGAAGGTTCGGTGCAATAGGAGTTGCTGTGTTTTATTTTCTCTTTCTTGCTGCACCAAGGTGGGTGACGTTCCCAGGACGCTGCCGCGTGATCTGCGAGGACGAGCGGCCGCGCTCGCGCGTGAGCTTAACACGCACGACACTACGCAGGAGGACAACGAGATGCAGTTTGGTGACGAGGTGGACGGCTACGATGCCGAAGACCTGGGCGACGAAGACAGCCTGATGGGCGACATCGATCAAATGGATGATCTCGAAGAGCTGCAGTCCATCTACGATGACTACATGGACGAGGAAGGTGACATAGAGCAAAACTTTGCACACAAGGATGCGACTGATGAAGAGTACCTCAAGTCGCTGCAGGACACTAACTTCGACGAAAGTATGGATGGTGTAGACAAGGATGCTGATGGAAAATACGATATGTCCGATTTTCTGGGAGACGACGGGGATGATGGCGAACGTGAACAGGATGAAGTTCAGGACAGCGTGCTGGACCAATATGCCATTCATAATGATGATGTAAGCATGATGTAATGGTAATGGAAGCATGACATAATGATGATATAATGAGGCTGTGTTGTGATGATTAATGGTTGACTGTGTATATTCTGTCCATTGATGGAGATTGAATATTTGTGCAGATTATGTTTCAACCGAGCCCAGCGTATAAGTTAGTATGTCTCTGGTGCTCTTCTAGATTGTTCCTTGCAAAATATGCGAGGGTTTAGATCGGGTTACGGATTCTAAGCCCCCATTGCATTTTAACTTTAATTCATTATAAGCTATCAGCAACGCTAGGCAAAGTGTTATCCGTACTAAAGCAGCTAGGTATGAGTAACTGTTCTTTCACTCAGTCAATATCAACTTCAATAGCATATCGGAGGACAATTCATGTTGATCGATAATGATGCGATTTGACAGTGTACACTCCTTGTCGTATGAGTACAGAGGAAGAAGCATGTTACCATTTGATCATGGATCCAGTATTTGAAAGCAGTGGAGTTTTATAATTGAAAAAAAATGCGCCCCCAAATCCTGGAAAAGGAGGAAAGAATGCCCGCCGTTAGCTGACTAACAAGACTTTGACGTACTGGGGCTGCGCTGTGAGGCAGCAGGGAGTGTGCACCTACGTATATGTGCAAGATGTGCATCATGTCCTTGCTCGCCCTGCAGCATGGTGTGTCCCAGTGCTCATTGCTGACCACTCGTGTTCTCTCTTTCTCTCTCTTTGTCTCTCTCTCTCTCTCTCTCTCTCTCTCGCTCTCTCTCTCTCTCTCTCTCTCTCTCTCTCTCTCTGTGTGTGCAGGCAATGGACTTCATGTCCGATGCTGACCAGGAGTACAACGAAAGAAGCGAGCCGGTCGTAGCTGAGGAACAGTTGCGTAATGACAATGTCATGCCAAACTACAGCCCTAAGGTCAGCATTTGCTGCGCTGTCGGTGTCCGGAAATTTACAAATGAGATTTATTTGAAGTGCATGTGCATAATGTGCTTCTGAAAATTTGAGAAGTTACAGGGCTATTGCAGACGGTGTCTAGAGGACTGTAGCCAAATCCTATTTATTTGTTGTGAATGTAACCTTTATTGTTATAATGATATTGTAGCAATATTGACTTATTTGAGTCATGTTGCTGTTAGAATATGCCTGTGGTTGATGCATCCACTAGTCTCCATGTGCGAGCCGGTTTGGCTCAGGGCCTATGTGCCTTCGGTTTCAGCCTGCGGATGGGATTGTGACTTTGCTGTTCAGCTTGCAAATAGTTCATCAAACTACCTCTGGGCCTGCGACTGCTAGCTCCAGTTCTGTGCTGCCGGTACTTGCACATTTGAGCAGCATAGACAACAGTCGAACGATTTCTCCGCACACTGTTCACAGAGTGGCTTCGTGTCTTTAGTGGTCTATGATGAACGCGGTCCGAGACAATTGAATGGATGGGTAGTCACATTTGTGTACTGATTTTGTTTCTTTTGTGTTTCATCATGTCCAGAACTTCTAAGGATGAATAGCTGGTCACCTATCATGCAGTGTTCAGATCAGCATCGAACTCCATGGCCCGTATCTATCATCACGCTCAACAGATCACTATTACACGTTACACATTCTACTAATTTCTTCACCGTATCACCTCTATTCTATCTATTATTGTTCTATGGTGTTTGACTTGCAACTGCATTTGCACGAAATCACTTGATCTGACTTGGGTTTGCACATTTATCATATGACTGCGGCACCGCCTAGCATGCGGCTCAGCTGTGATTCAGTGACGATAACCGGTGCAGTAGAATTTTCATGAAGCAGTGGCGTTACGTACCGCAGGTCACAATCTTCTTTGCCCTGCTTATTCTACTAAATTGATGCTTGTGTTTGCCACTCATCTCCTGACAACTATTCGGCGGAAGTCCGGAGCCGGTTTTGATGCTGTTCACACGTAACATAATTATGAATTCCGAATAATAATTATATGCGTTACATTTGAAACAATGAATCACAACATTCAATGGTTGAATGGCGATTAAAATCTTAAAAGTGAAACGACAGCAGCATGACATTGTACTAATGATTCTAGCAAACTACTATAAAAAGGTCCTACGGACTATTGTCAAATTTGTGGGTGAAGCCTATTGGAAAATAGATAATTTTGTGAATTACTAGCAGTGGCTTCATACCGCGAGCCGCTGAGGTTAGCTATGCCCATGGCCACCATGAACTGCATAATATATACACTTGTAGAGTTCAATATAGTAAGGTAAGGCTGAAATTGTAAATTTTAGACGAGAACAAATTGTGTGAAGGATTGGGGGGGGGGGAGAACAGGGTCATATTTGTGTCATGCATCGGTGAGGGCTAAGTAATAAAATCAAGCTGCAACGCAGACTGGGAGATGAATGACTGGTCGTGAAATTCTACAAGCCAAAGATATTCTCGGATTGTTCGTCCTCCGCTTGCTCGGCATCTTGGTCGCCATTCACTATGATGCCCCCGCCGCCGCCGCCTCCACTGGGGTTGGTCGGCCCACCGGCACCAGGGCCGATGATAATGCCCCCGTCGTCGGTGGTAGCTGGCGTACCCGTGGGAACAGGCTGGAGATCGGACTGATACTGAACACACACGCCGCCGGGAAGCTCGGCATTGTCGACGTATTCCGACGGGAACGCCGTTCCCCCGGTGCCCGTCAACGGTGCCGTGATGGACGGGAAGAAAGCGTCGTGATGCGCTGTACTTATGTTCTGGTACGTACTCCAGATCGAGTCCGTGAATGCCGTGAAGAGCCAGTACTCGGGGGCATTGCTGGAGCGATTCGAGCACATTGTGCCGCCGACGTTGCACCGAGGTGCGTCGTGGAATGTCGTCCTAACGGTCGACTCAAACTGCAGGAACTGCGCAGCGGGGATTGCAAACGACTGGTTTATGCTAGCCATAGTGGGCATGGTACCGCTAAATTTGCGTCGCAGGCAGGAGCCATCTGGTCGAACTGTCCATAACGGCCCCGCGAAAGGGCCCGTTTGAATACAGTCTCCTGCTGAGGTATCCCCATCACCACCCAGAAGATTGGGGTTCGTCCATAATGGTGCCGTAAACGGAGCGGATGAGTAGCGAGACCAGTCCCAAAATGGGATGGTGATGCTGCAGTGGATCTACGCGTGTCCAAAACACACACACACACACACACACACACACACACACACACACACACACATACACGCACATTCACATACGCATGTGCACCCCCCCCCCCCCCCACCACACACACCCCACCCACCCACACATATAATGCATTCACATATGCATGCACGTGCACACACACATTCACATACATATGCGCGTGCGCGCACGCACACACACACACACACATAAACAAACACACATGCATGCATACACAAACATGCATACACACAAGCAGAGTTATTCATCTTCAAATCACCGCAACTATCTCATCACCCCGCCCCACGTGGGGAAATTGTCTGAACCGACCGTTCCGTCCGAATTCAGTAAAAGGACCAATAATTCAGAATTAAAATTTTAGTCAGAGACAAGAAGGCAATTATCAAAAGAAACGCAATCAACCCATAACCAACGAATACATACATGTGTAATGTATTCGTTTGAGCACTCTGGCAAGGTACGTTTGGGCCTGGTTTATATCTGGCTTTGGAAATTTTATTTTCATTGCCATCAGGTTCGGCCTCATTTCCTCTGTGCTGCGCTGATGAGTTCACAAAGGACGAAACAGTCCTGTCCGCAGATTCAGTATTCGTTTGGACAGAAATGTTGGAAAAAATATAATCAGTGCCCATTTGTTGTGGATTGGTTGTGTTTTTCTATAGTACAATATCATTGACTGGGGGGGGGGGGGGGGGGGGGGGACATGCGGCCAGCCTGCAGAATAGTTTGACCAATTGGTGGAGAAAGAATGTGGGTTGTGAAAGAGCCAAGACAGAGAATATCGGCAAAATATTTTTGAAATTCGGATGATGAGCCACTAATACAATTTGGAAAAGCAAAGTGATGCATACATACGAGTTATGAGTGACTGTCCACAACTATTATCTTGTTATAGTGATGGACAGTTACATGTACTTCGAAGTACTCCTATCTCGTATCCACGAGTCCCTTTCCTTTCTGCAAAGAATATTCTTTGAACATCTTACCTGTCGTAGTAAGTTCTCCATTTGCAGTAGGAACCATCGGTGCCATGGCAAGAACTGCTGCGGAGTGTGAGTTCCCGTGTTGAAATGGTTTGTGTGCGTTGCCATCAGGTGATCATAGGTGGGCTGGAATTGAGGTATTTGCGACACAGCCAAGAGTGCGCCGACGAAAGCATCCTGCTCCGCCGAGCTCATGTGAAGGAACTCCCTGCGAACACGACAGCCGCTCTCCGGACATCCCGGAGTGATGACCGGGAATGGTGTAGTGGTGGGAGGAATTGTGGTCGGTCCAGTGGTTGGGGTGGTGGTTGGTGGTGTTGTCGGTGTTGTGGTTGGTGGTGTTGTCGGGGTTGTGGTTGGGGGTGTTGTCGGGGTTGTGGTTGGTGGTGTCGTCGGGGTTGTGGTTGGTGGTGTTGTCGGTGTAGTTGTTGGTGGTGTTGTCGGAGTAGTGGTTGGTGGTGTCGTCGGTGTTGTGGTTGGTGGTGTTGTCGGGGTTGTGGTTGGGGGTGCTGTCGGGGTTGTGGTTGGTGGTGTCGTCGGGGTTGTGGTTGGTGGTGTTGTCGGTGTAGTTGTTGGTGGTGTTGTCGGAGTAGTGGTTGGTGGTGTCGTCGGAGTAGTGGTTGGTGTTGTTGTCGGGGTTGTGGTTGGTGGAGTTGTCGGGGTTGTGGTTGGTGGTGATGTCAGTGGAGTGGTTGGTGGTGTTGTTGGGGTTGTGGTTGGTGGTGTTGTCGGGGTGGTGGTTGGTGGTGTTGTCGGTGGAGTGGTTGGTGGTGTTGTCGGTGAAGTGGTTGGTGTTGTTGTCGGTGGAGTGGTTGGTGGTGTTGTCGGTGGAGTGGTTGGAGGTGTTGTCGGTGGAGTGGTCGGTGGTATTGTCGGTGGAGTGGTTGGTGTTGTTGTTGGTGGAGTGGTTGGTGGTGTTGTCGGTGGAGTGGTTGGAGGTGTTGTCGGTGGAGTGGTTGGTGGTGTTGTCGGTGGAGTGGTTGGTGGTGTTGTCGGTGGAGTGGTTGGTGGTGTTGTCGGTGGAGTGGTTGGTGTTGTTGTCGGTGGAGCGGTTGGAGGTGTTGTCGGTGGAGTGGTTGGAGGTGTTGTCGGTGGAGTGGTTGGAGGTGTTGTCGGTGGAGTGGTTGGTGGTGTTGTCGGTGGAGTGGTTGGAGCGGTTGTCGGTGTAGTGGTTGGAGGTGTTGTCGGTGGTGTGGTTGGTGGTGTTGTCGGTGGAGTGGTTGGTGGTGTTGTCGGTGGAGTGGTTGGTGGTGTTGTCGGTGGAGTGGTTGGTGGTGTTGTCGGTGGAGTGGTTGGTGGTGTTGTCGGTGGAGTGGTTGGTGGTGTTGTCGGTGGAGTGGTTGGTGGTGTTGTCGGTGGAGTGGTTGGAGGTGTTGTCGGTGGAGTGGTTGGAGGTGTTGTCGGTGGAGTGGTTGGAGGTGTTGTCGGTGGAGTGGTTGGTGGTGTTGTCGGTGGAGTGGTTGGAGGGGTTGTCGGTGTAGTGGTTGGAGGTGTTGTCGGTGGTGTGGTTGGTGGTGTTGTCGGTGGAGTGGTTGGTGGTGTTGTCGGTGGAGTGGTTGGTGGTGTTGTCGGTGGAGTGGTTGGTGGTGTTGTCGGTGGAGTGGTTGGTGGTGTTGTCGGTGGAGTGGTTGGAGGTGTTGTCGGTGGAATGGTTGGTGGTGTTGTCGGTGGAGTGGTTGGTGGTGTTGTCGGTGGAGTGGTTGGTGGTGTTGTCGGTGGAGTGGTTGGTGGTGTTGTCGGTGGAGTGGTTGGTGGTGTTGTCGGTGGAGTGGTTGGTGGTGTTGTCGGTGGAGTGGTTGGTGGTGTTGTCGGTGGAGTGGTTGGTTGTGTTGTTGGTGGATTGGTTGGTGGTGTTGTCGGTGGAGTGGTTGGTGGTGTTGTCGGTGGAGTGGTCGGTGGAGTGGTTGGAGGTGTTGTGGGTGGAGTGGTTGGAGGTGTTGTTGGTTTAGTCGTCAGTGGCTGTGTAGTTGCAGCAGTAGAATTCCACTGTGGGGTTGTTGATTGCTGCAGTGTGGTGGTCGGTACTGGACGTGTTGTCCCTGTTCAATCAGACATGCATCGGGATATCATAGTCATGTTAAAGGGGAACTGTCACCAAAATTTTTCTTTGTCTTATCTTGTAGTTCCTTGGCTCCTGATCTCGATGGTATTATCCGTTTTTCTCTGCGATGGCTGGAAGTGGGCGAAAACTTGAAAAGAAGGTGCCCAAAATTGTCCCGAAGTACCGAGTGACGTCACGCCGGACTTGACCTCCACGCGTACATTCGTCGTCAAAAACGAAGTCCAGCCGGTGTGCTGGTCGATTGAGCTAGCTGTTCCGATGTACCATTGTGTACGGTGCACGTGTGCCTTTTGAACTCTAACACAGATGGGTCCGTCGTACCGAAGGAGAATGCCAAAGAGGCAGAGACCCACGTACAGCTACACAGCCAAATCAAAATAAAAAGCAGCTGAGCTCTCACCTTTTTGACTTCTTCCGCGAGGATCTAAGTAATTAGTTTTATTTTGTGAGCACGGAAGTACGTCGTTGTTTTGAACTTTTCGTATGAGGAACACGATGATGAGCGCGTATGCCGAAAACAGTACTCCTCCGGCCGGCGACAACACCACCAACCCGAGCCCCAAAGGAACGCAATGTAGCTACGTGAAGGCGATTCATCTGGCGATGTTGCTGAAGATGCACATGACAAACTCCGACGTCTTTCATTTCAGAGTCGGGTGGGCAACACCGCCACCTTCGATACAACGACATAGTTTTCAAGTACGAGGTATGCGTGTCACACTAACACCAAACACACATCCTTCCACTCCTTCGTAATCACAAATAAAACAAAGAGCTGGAGCTTCGTTGAGGAAGGACCAGTGCGACAAACTTCTGTCGACTTTTGTTTGGTTTTGTCAGTTTTTCGCGTTCTCATTGTGTACAACGTACACATCAGTGTCCGAGTTCAGAAGGCAAGCGTGCACCGTACATTGAACAGTTGGCTCGATCGACTAGCACACGGGCTGGACTTTGTTTTTGACGATGAATGTACGCGTGGAGGTCAAGTCCGGCGTGACGTCACTCGGTACTTCGGGACAATTTTGGGCACCTTCTTTTCAAGTTTTCACCCACTTCCAGTCATCGCAGAGAATAACGAATAACACCATCTTGATAAGAAGCCAAAGAACTACAAGATAAGA